CTTCGTGGAGAACACGTGAGAGATCCAGAAGTAACGGTGTTGATGTCTGGCACCTCTTCTCCAAGGAAGAGCCAGCAGACGTGCCAGAGGGTCCAGTCACAGACGAAGCACTACAAGAACTACTGCAACCTGTGGGCCTTCGTGGAGAACACGTGAGAGATCCAGAAGTAACGGTGTTGATGTCTGGCACCTCTTCTCCAAGGAAGAGCCAGCAGACGTGCCAGAGGGTCCAGTCACAGACGAAGCACTACAAGAACTACTGCAACCTGTGGGCCTTCGTGGAGAACACGTGAGAGATCCAGAAGTAACGGTGTTGATGTCTGGCACCTCTTCTCCAAGGAAGAGCCAGCAGACGTGCCAGAGGGTCCAGTCACAGACGAAGCACTACAAGAACTACTGCAACCTGTGGGCCTTCGTGGAGAACACGTGAGAGATCCAGAAGTAACGGTGTTGATGTCTGGCACCTCTTCTCCAAGGAAGAGCCAGCAGACGTGCCAGAGGGTCCAGTCACAGACGAAGCACTACAAGAACTACTGCAACCTGTGGGCCTTCGTGGAGAACACGTGAGAGATCCAGAAGTAACGGTGTTGATGTCTGGCACCTCTTCTCCAAGGAAGAGCCAGCAGACGTGCCAGAGGGTCCAGTCACAGACGAAGCACTACAAGAACTACTGCAACCTATGGGCCTTCGTGGAGAACACGTGAGAGATCCAGAAGTAACGGTGTTGATGTCTGGCACCTCTTCTCCAAGGAAGAGCCAGCAGACGTGCCAGAGGGTCCAGTCACAGACGAAGCACTACAAGAACTACTGCAACCTGTGGGCCTTCGTGGAGAACACGTGAGAGATCCAGAAGTAACGGTGTTGATGTCTGGCACCTCTTCTCCAAGGAAGAGCCAGCAGACGTGCCAGAGGGCCCAGTCACAGACGAAGCACTACAAGAACTACTGCAACCTGTGGGCCTTCGTGGAGAACACGTGAGAGATCCAGAAGTAACGGTGTTGATGTCTGGCACCTCTTCTCCAAGGAAGAGCCAGCAGACGTGCCAGAGGGTCCAGTCACAGACGAAGCACTACAAGAACTACTGCAACCTGTGGGCCTTCGTGGAGAACACGTGAGAGATCCAGAAGTAACGGTGTTGATGTCTGGCACCTCTTCTCCAAGGAAGAGCCAGCAGACGTGCCAGAGGGTCCAGTCACAGACGAAGCACTACAAGAACTACTGCAACGTGTGGGCCTTCGTGGAGAACACGTGAGAGATCCAGAAGTAACGGTGTTGATGTCTGGCACCTCTTCTCCAAGGAAGAGCCAGCAGACGTGCCAGAGGGTCCAGTCACAGACGAAGCACTACAAGAACTACTGCAACCTGTGGGCCTTCGTGGAGAACACGTGAGAGATCCAGAAGTAACGGTGTTGATGTCTGGCACCTCTTCTCCAAGGAAGAGCCAGCAGACGTGCCAGAGGGCCCAGTCACAGACGAAGCACTACAAGAACTACTGCAACCTGTGGGCCTTCGTGGAGAACACGTGAGAGATCCAGAAGTAACGGTGTTGATGTCTGGCACCTCTTCTCCAAGGAAGAGCCAGCAGACGTGCCAGAGGGCCCAGTCACAGACGAAGCACTACAAGAACTACTGCAACCTGTGGGCCTTCGTGGAGAACACGTGAGAGATCCAGAAGTAACGGTGTTGATGTCTGGCACCTCTTCTCCAAGGAAGAGCCAGCAGACGTGCCAGAGGGTCCAGTCACAGACGAAGCACTACAAGAACTACTGCAACCTGTGGGCCTTCGTGGAGAACACGTGAGAGATCCAGAAGTAACGGTGTTGATGTCTGGCACCTCTTCTCCAAGGAAGAGCCAGCAGACGTGCCAGAGGGTCCAGTCACAGACGAAGCACTACAAGAACTACTGCAACCTGTGGGCCTTCGTGGAGAACACGTGAGAGATCCAGAAGTAACGGTGTTGATGTCTGGCACCTCTTCTCCAAGGAAGAGCCAGCAGACGTGCCAGAGGGTCCAGTCACAGACGAAGCACTACAAGAACTACTGCAACCTGTGGGCCTTCGTGGAGAACACGTGAGAGATCCAGAAGTAACGGTGTTGATGTCTGGCACCTCTTCTCCAAGGAAGAGCCAGCAGACGTGCCAGAGGGTCCAGTCACAGACGAAGCACTACAAGAACTACTGCAACCTGTGGGCCTTCGTGGAGAACACGTGAGAGATCCAGAAGTAACGGTGTTGATGTCTGGCACCTCTTCTCCAAGGAAGAGCCAGCAGACGTGCCAGAGGGTCCAGTCACAGACGAAGCACTACAAGAACTACTGCAACCTGTGGGCCTTCGTGGAGAACACGTGAGAGATCCAGAAGTAACGGTGTTGATGTCTGGCACCTCTTCTCCAAGGAAGAGCCAGCAGACGTGCCAGAGGGTCCAGTCACAGACGAAGCACTACAAGAACTACTGCAACCTGTGGGCCTTCGTGGAGAACACGTGAGAGATCCAGAAGTAACGGTGTTGATGTCTGGCACCTCTTCTCCAAGGAAGAGCCAGCAGACGTGCCAGAGGGTCCAGTCACAGACGAAGCACTACAAGAACTACTGCAACCTGTGGGCCTTCGTGGAGAACACGTGAGAGATCCAGAAGTAACGGTGTTGATGTCTGGCACCTCTTCTCCAAGGAAGAGCCAGCAGACGTGCCAGAGGGTCCAGTCACAGACGAAGCACTACAAGAACTACTGCAACCTGTGGGCCTTCGTGGAGAACACGTGAGAGATCCAGAAGTAACGGTGTTGATGTCTGGCACCTCTTCTCCAAGGAAGAGCCAGCAGACGTGCCAGAGGGTCCAGTCACAGACGAAGCACTACAAGAACTACTGCAACCTGTGGGCCTTCGTGGAGAACACGTGAGAGATCCAGAAGTAACGGTGTTGATGTCTGGCACCTCTTCTCCAAGGAAGAGCCAGCAGACGTGCCAGAGGGTCCAGTCACAGACGAAGCACTACAAGAACTACTGCAACCTGTGGGCCTTCGTGGAGAACACGTGAGAGATCCAGAATTGACGGTGTTGATGTCTGGCACCTCTTCTCCAAGGAAGAGCCAGCAGACGTGCCAGAGGGTCCAGTCACAGACGAAGCACTACAAGAACTACTGCAACCTGTGGGCCTTCGTGGAGAACACGTGAGAGATCCAGAAGTAACGGTGTTGATGTCTGGCACCTCTTCTCCAAGGAAGAGCCAGCAGACGTGCCAGAGGGTCCAGTCACAGACGAAGCACTACAAGAACTACTGCAACCTGTGGGCCTTCGTGGAGAACACGTGAGAGATCCAGAAGTAACGGTGTTGATGTCTGGCACCTCTTCTCCAAGGAAGAGCCAGCAGACGTGCCAGAGGGTCCAGTCACAGACGAAGCACTACAAGAACTACTGCAACCTGTGGGCCTTTGTTGAGAAGAGGTGCAAAATGACATTCTTGCACCTTGCTATTGCATGTGTCGTTACAAGTTTTCACCCTGCCGAGGATTTTTTAGGCGCCTTAAAAAAACCACTCTTTAATGTGCCTTGCTTTTGTATGTGCAGTTACAAGGTTCCTTCCTGCCGAGGCAGCTGTCTACTTTTCAATGACGAGTCGGAGTGCGGGGTGCGCAATGTAACGCGGGACGCGAAGAGGAACGTTGTCTACCAATTCATGGAGCCCAGTTTCCTTAACTGCGACTAGTAGGCATAACCTCGCCTTCGCCCATACCCTTGGGGTATTGAATCTAGTGATCCTCTCATTTCTCCACCGGCCCATTGTTCCACGAACTATGATGCTATATATGGTGGCAACACCATAAGAAACCTAAGTTTCTTGGTGCTTCCCTTCTGAAAACATTGGCGTTATATTTTTTGCCAATGTGTAGATTGAAACGTGTGGATGGAAACCTGGCCACAGCATAAAAAAATAACGTTTCTTTTGGTGAAATTGCAAATGGTCCAGATGTAGAAAGCTATAACCACGCATGGGTGCATTGAGTAACGAATAATGTCCAACTCGTTGATGAGGATCTCTCTTGTTGAGTGGGAGTTGTTGAAAGCCAAGCTTTGCGAGCTTCTTCCCCTGATGCAAGGCTGGCAGAGCAACAGATGGGATGCAGCGATCCCACAGTCATCAACAACTTAACAACTTATTTCGCGTACGAATGGGTAACGCTCACGAGATATTTGAATTCGCAGGCACAGTAACTTGGAGTGTCGTCATCCGGTCGTATTACAGTATGTGTAACAGGCGGCTCGTTGGAACCGAGGCTTTCGCCGGGCAACGACTGCTCTGCTATTGATTCCCTGTGATGTCTGTCACACCACCGCCAATGCCCTCACAAGAATTTTGTGTGGTGGATTGGTCGAGCTATATGAGTGGCCATCCGTCTTCTGCTGCACTGATGTTTCAAGGACTAGCGTAATTGTCCATTGGTCATCCAGTGCGGTTCGGTCGAATTCGAGACGTTACAAAACGGTTATTGTCTATCACCGTGTTAGACCGTAACGCACCTCCTCATATTTTCAGTGAATTTCCCTGCTGCTTTTCACTCCCTTCCATGTCACTCGCATTCTTGCTCCTAACTTTCACTTCAATAGTTCCCTCTACTATAATAACTTCAGCTGCGAAGGTCGTTCTGTCATTTGTGTCCTAGATTTTCAAAAGGTTTACGTACGCGACTGCAGACGATAGGGAAGATCGTCCAGTAGATTGTAGTATTATAGCAGTTTAGCACATGATCAACTAGTGTGCTAGTGGATAATGTTTCTCATTACCGCTCTCGCATACAATAGTCCCTTTCAGCTATTATTGCTGTCTTCCTTGTTTACCTTTAGGCAGGAAGGCGTGCGCTGCAGGCGATGACATATCCAAGTACTGATTCGTCAATTCTTACAACTTAGCGGGCATTAGTAGCCACGCGCCTTCTTTTCGCGTTTCGTAATTTTCTCCGGCCACTCGCTTGAAGCCCGCCACTCAATTGTATGCGTGCTCTGAAAATGGCGGAACTTAAGACTCAAGAGTTCGAAGCAGATGGAGTCGACACCATAGTTACAGCAGACGACCGACCTTCACCGCGCAGCAAGCCTGCTTATGGCACGTTTCTGCGAGGGATGTGGCCGTTCAGTCACAGCGCCAAGTATCACTCCCACAATAGTCACACTCCCAACGGTCACAATTTCGCGCACACTCGGTCTCTGAAAGAAACGATCAAGCACCACCTTTCTCCCGATCCTAAACCATCCGAACCTGCAGCCGTACCTTCAACCGAACCTCTAGCCGAACCAGGCACGCCGGAGCTACAGCAAGCGAGCCGCTCCCCTGGGAAACGAGGCTTTCTCGGCCTGCTACAATCCCGATCGCGCCGAGACCGAACCTCGTCCCATACCTCGTCTATAGGCTCGGAGTCGAGCAGCGGGACAGGTGGGAAGTCTGTATCTGGACCGACGACAGCCAGACGCAAAACTGCGTCAAGATCGTCCTTTGGGAAGGAGTCGGGAAGCGAAAAGGAACTTGAAGCGGTCCCTGGCAATGTCACTGAAGCTGCTGACAGCGGCGCTTCTGCTGCGGCAGACCCGTTGCTGGACATGTCGCACGCGTCGCCATCCCAGTCGCACACGTCGCCGTCACAGTCACACACGTCGCCGTCGCAGTCGCAGTCGTCGGAACTGCTGCTGGGAAACCCGCTCAAGAAAACCAACGTCAAGGTTTTGGACGATGACGAAGTTCGCCAGACGTTCGCAGGCCCTTCGCGAATGGAGGTGGACGAAGGGCCAATGCATCAAGGGCCCGCGGTTTCACTAGCGGATAACACGGAAGACGAAGTGACTAGTGCGAATTCTGTTAGCCATCTAGTCGGAGACAGAGAAAATTCATCAGTTGTGGAGGAGGAGAAAGAGGCTTCGGCGTTTGCTGCAGGTGCTGCTGCTGCTGCTGCTGCTGCTGCTGCTGCTGCTGCTGCTGCTGCTGCTGCTGCTGCTGCTGTTGCTGCCGCTGCTGTCGCTGCTGCACCTGCTGCTGCTCCCCTTGTTGCTGCTCCTCCTCCTGTTGATCCTCCTGCTGCCGTTCCACTTGCTGCTGCTCCTCCTCCTGCTGCTGTTCCCGCTGCTGCTGTTCCTCCTCCTCCTGCCGCTGTTCCCGCTGCTGCTGTTCCTCCTCCTGCTGCTGCTGTTCCTCTCGCTGAGGCCAAGGCTGTGGAGAATGGCATGCAGGAACTGACCATGAATGAAGTGCCAGCACACAGCAGCACGGAGGCTCCACACAACAGTGATGGCTTAGATGACGTTGGTGGGTCTTCACTGCTTGGGTCTTATACATCTGAAGGGCTGCTGCTCGTGACTGCTGCTGCCCCTGCTGCTGTTGCTTCTATTGCGCCTGCTGCTGCTGCGCCCGCTTCTCTTGCTCCTGCTGCTCCTGCTCCTGCTGCTGATGCGATCCCGTTGGGGGTTACGCTTGCAAATTTTATCCCAGAGTCTGCTGCTGCTGCTTCGGCTGTTGCTGCTTCGGCCGCTGCTGCTGTGGAGGAAGTAGGGCAGGAGGGAGAGGAGCAGGATGAAAGGGGGAGGAAGGATGGGGAGGAGGCGAAGGAGGAGGAGGACATGGGGGAGAAAGAGGAGCAGGAGGAAGGGGGGAGGAAGGTTGAGGAGGAGGGTGAGAGAAAGGAGGAGATGGAGGGACCGATGACAACAGAGATGGTTGAGGAGGAGAGAAAGAGGGAGGAGGAAATTGAGGTGGTTGAGGAGGAGACGAGGGGGAAGGAGGAGGGGGAAGAGGAGGGCGGAGGGCTTGTTACTGTGAGCATGGATATTTCAGTTGGTGGGGACGATGGAGCAGGGGATGAAGGGATGATGGAAGAGGAAAGTGCCACAGAGCAAGGGGGTGCAACCTCTGCTGCCGCTGCTCCTGCTGACGCCGCTGCTCCCTCTGTTGCCACTGCCGATGCAGCAGCTGCTGCTCTTGAGTCGACTCAAAAGTCACCTGCTGCTCTTGATGCCCCAGCACACCCCTCACACGAGCCTTCCACGTCTCTTGATGCCCCAGCACACCCCTCACACGAGCCTTCCACGTCTCTTGATGCCCCAGCACACCCCTCACACGAGCCTTCCACGTCTCTGGACGCATGTCTGCACCTGCTGATGAGCATAGACGAAGCTGACATGGCGGCAGGCCTGGTAGCTGCAGCAGGCCACGTGGCATGCGGGGACGCTGACGTGGTGCATGAGGTGTTTGACGCGCTGCCCTTTCACTTCGTCCGATCGCTGCTGGAAGAATCAGTGGGGGAGAGGCTTGAAGCAACAGCACTGGGACCAACGCAGGATCCACCAACATCAGCGTCAGCAGCAGGAGCAGCAGCAGCAGCAGCAGTGTCTGTACTCGTGGTGGTCACTGAGCAACCGGAACTAGCCTGTCTGCCTCCTGTACTCCACCTGCTGGACCCTCTCAGCCAGATTATTCTCCACGGGTGAGTGAACGTTTGAGCCGTCTCAAACTCTGTTTTGGAGTCTCTATCCTGCTGCTCCTTCCCCTCCTCCCTCCCTCCCCACAACCACATGCGCACTGTTTCTCTCTTCCAAGACGCCTGCCTGTGTGAGCTTGCTTGCCTCTCTTCCTGTGTGTATATATATGGTTACACATACATACACATTCTGCTCCTTCCCCTCCTCCCTCCTTCCCCACAACTACCAGGCGGACAGTGTCTCTCGTCCGAGACGCTTGCCTATGTGTGCTGGCGGTGGCGCGGGGATCAGAAGCGGGCATGCGGGCGTGCAGGGAGCAAGGCATGCTCGGGGTGGTCGCTTGCTCTCTTGCTGCCATCACAGGTATCGACACACCACTTGTGACTGGTCCCATATTGAAATCACTTTTGAGAATTCCCAAAAGTGATTTCAATATAGCCGGGGTGGTCGCTCGCTCTCTTGCTGCCACCACAGGTATCGACACAGTGACTGGTGCCATTGCTGCCATGACAGGTATCGTGATGTGGCACATGCATGGGTGGGTGGTAAAGCATGAGAGGTCATGACTGAACGGCTCAGAAGGAGGCATGAGGGCATGAGGGTATGAGGGCAGGGCATGAGGGAGAAGAGCCTCTTGTGACATGGTCACATGGTCACATCACATGGTCACATGGTCACATGGTCACATCACATGGTCACATGGTCACATCACATGGTCACATGGTCACATGGTCACATGGTCACATCGTCACGTGGTCACATCACATGGTCACATGGTCACATCACATGGTCACATGGTCACGTGGTCACATGGTCACGTGGTCACTTGGTCACATGGTCACGTGGTCACATCACATGGTCACATGGTCACGTGGTCACATCACATGGTCACGTGGTCACATGGTCACATGGGCTGGTGTGCAGGGAGAAGAGCATCTTGTGTTGGCCGCACGCTCTGTTAGCTTGTGTGGTGTTGTCACCATGGTACTGTGTTCACCCTTTTCCCCTTCACACATGTGTCATTCATACACCCCTTGTTGTATAAGATTTTTCAATCAGACTCCCTCTTCCCCTCCTCCCCCCCTTGCCCCCCTTTTCCCCCGCCCCCGCCTTTCCCCACCCTCCTGTTTTTAACGCTTCTCTCAACTCTCCCCTTTTCTTCCCTCCTACCCACAGACCCTTCCTGTTCAGCTCTTAAGGTCTCTTTTGAGGCGCCTCAAAGAGGTCGTTTTTGAGGCGCCTCAAAGAGGTCGTTTCTGAGGCGCCTCAAAAACGTCCTGTTGTTAACGCTTCTCTCAACTCTCCCCTTTTCTTCCCTCTTACTCACAGACCCTTCCTGCTCAGCTCTTGCAGCGGACCTGCTAAGCGTTCTGGTCAATGCTGCATCTCCCCTCGATATCTTCCAACACGGAGACTCGCTTGCTGCTGCTGTGAGTTCCCCCCTGTCCCCCATCCCAGTTCCCGTTTCCCCCTTCCCCCGTCACCATTTCTTGTCTCAAATTCACCAAACTGTTCCTATCATGCTCCTTATGCAAGCATTTGCTAAGCTCTCGTGTTGCCTCTACCCCTTCTCTCAATAGTTCGTTCGTTACCATCTGCTTCTCAGGTGCCAGGCCTAGCAAGGCAGCTCGCATCAAGCGAGTTTTGAGACGTCTCAAAGTTTCATTACCATCTGCTTCTCAGGTGCCAGGCCTAGAAAGGCAGCTAGACTCAAGTGAAGACAGCAGCAGCAAGCACAAGATAGTCACCCTGCTGCTCATTCTTGTCTTGATTACCACCACTCTGTTCTGTTACCCTCTGGTCACCATACCAGGTGCCAGCCCTAGCAAGGCAGCTAGCATCAAGCGAAGACAGCAGCAGCAAGCACAAGATAGTCACCCTGCTGCTCGCTCTGCTCTCGACAACTCAACAACAACAGAACCACCGCCCTGCATTGTCTAGCGCTACTCAAAGCACCGCTGAGCCGGAGCAGTTGGAGGGTCTGGTTCAGCAGGGCGTGAAGAGGCTTGAGCCTGTTGTGGCTGGTCGAGTGTGGGCAGCAGACCTTCGGGGTGGCATTCAGTGCATTCTCTCTTCCACCACTGGTTAGTACTGCTTCCCTGGCCTCCTTTCCTGTTCTCTGGTGAGGTTCCTGCTCTCAGGGTACTGCCTCAATGCAAGGTAGCAGAGCAGCCAGATGGTTTGGTGTGCTGCAGAGCGTGAAGAGCCTCGAGTCGAGCCTGTTGTGGCTGGTCGGGTGCGGGCGGCAGATCTTCGGGGGGGCATTCAGATTATCCTACTGTCTTCCACAGGTTAGTAGTGCTGGCCTATTCCTCCTTTCTTCCTTGCGGCTCCGAAGGTAGTGAGGCTCCTCAAGGTATCTTCTCAGGTATTCTCAGTGCGAGTTCAGTTGCACTGCCCTCGTTTTCCTTTGCTGTGGTTTTGGCTCCTTGGGTTGATGCCACCATGAAAGACACCTGACACCTGCCCTGCCCCCACAGGCTCTGATCTGTCTGGAGGGCCTTGGTTGATTCCCTGCTTGCTGTCTGGTTGTCGGCAGCCAAAAACACGCTCTGTTCTCCTTCTCTCCCCCTCTTCCTCCCCTCCCGCTTCCCTCCCCGCCGCTTCCCCTCTGCCAGTATCCAATGAGAGTCAGCAAGACGCTTTTCACCTGGCTCATGTGGTTACCAGCATTCTTGGAGATTCTTGGCTCGCTGGGCCTCCTGAAAATACACCTGAGAATTTCCCTGGCTCTTCTCCTCCGGAAAATATTCTAGACTACAGGTGAGACTCTTCGAGTCTATATTACCTTGATCTCTCTTTGGCCGGGTGCTTAAATCTACAACCTGCAACCTTTGTTTGTTTGTTTGTTTGCTAGCTTGCTTTTTGTGTTCTTTTTTGTGATTCCAAGGAGAATATTATTCCCTGCCCGCCTAACCTCGTGCCCCTTTCCTACCCTCGTGCCCCCCCCCTTCTCTCACTCCACCAACCCTACCACTCCCCATCCCTGATCCAACCAGCTTTGTGCTGGCTCTCTTGCGAACAGCAAAGCAGGATATTCCCTGTCTTCTCGACACTCCTCCTTCCATGCCCTCATGCATTCCCTTCCCCCCCTATGCCAACCCTACCACTTCCCATCCCTGATCCAACCAGCTTTGTGCTGGCTCTCTTGCGAACAGCAAAGCAGGATATTCCCTGTCTTCTCGACACCCTAGCTCGTCTTACAATTGAAACTGACCCCGACACTGACCCCAACACCGATCCCGATATTGACCCCGATACTGACCCGAAGACTGACCCCAGTTCTGACCCCACTATTGAAACTGACACTGACGTACAACAACCAGAGGAGGGCTTAGAGAAGAAGATCATGCGAGAAAGCAGTGGGGAAGATGGTAACGCATCAGCCTTCGCTGCAGCGGCTGGAGAAGCAGCAGAGAGCACCGAGAGTAACAATGAGAGTGGTAACCACATGCTCAATGGTAACCGCATGCTCAATGGTAACCACACGTCTGCAATGGATACAGAGGATAGCACCGGCAGCAGAAGCAGCACTATCAGCACGGGCAGCAGCACAGGAATAAGCAAGCTGCATAGCACTAGTAGAGCCGAGAGCAATCTGAGCAAGCAGAGCAATCTGAGCAAGCAGAGTAAGCTGAGTGGCAGCAGCTGGGCGGATCAGAGCAAACTCAATGCGGATGCTGCTTGGGTTGCCCTAGGAGGCAATCTAGACCGTTTCGGGCCGGGAAACGCAGGAGTTCTGGGCGGTATAGGGGCCAGTGCAGGAGGTGGAGGAGGAGGAGGGGGAGGAGGAGGGGGGTTGGGGAGATCTGGTGGATTAGCGAGAGGAGGGGGTGGCTTGGGTAGGTCTGGGGGAGGAGGGCTTATGAGGAGTGGAGGGCTAGGGGGAGGCGGAGGGGGAGGGTTAGGGGGAGGGGGAGGGGGAGGTTTGGATAGAATGAACTCTATAGTGCCTACGAATGAGGATTGGAGGTCTGTAGTGAAAGATATGAAGGATGCGATATGGGAGCCTCCTACTAACGCGGATGGGGGAGGAGGAGGTGCGGGGGGTGGGGGAGGAGGTGGAGGAGGAGGAGAGGGAGGGGAGAGTGGTCTAGGGGAGCTCAGTATAGAAGAGTTTGCAGCTATGGAGGAGGACGCGGGAGGTGCGGAGGATGCCGGACCTCCGGATGAGGTTCGGCAGGCACAGCAGCAGCTGGATCGGTGCTTCAGACTGGTTGAAACGGCTGTGGGCTTACTAACGAAAGCTGGAGAAAAGGCTGAAGGGGGGGAGGCTGTATCAGCTGAAAGGCAGACCAACGGGGTGTCTCTAGGGCATCTCTCTGAAAGGCAGCTCTCTGTAAAGGAGCTATCTGTAAGGGAGCAATCTGAGAGGCTCAGGCTATGTACAGAGCTGGTGGATGGAGCATTGAAGGACGTCCTAGTGTTTCTGCAGCTGGCCCAGCAGCGGGAGTGGTGGTGTGGGGAGGCGGTGGTGGCGTGTGTGCGCGTGGCGGGGGCGTGCCTGGCTGCTGCGCCCTCGGCTCACAGGAAGAGAGCTGGGCGGCTGCTGGGGTTCCTGCTAGCAGTCACAGGCGCGCAGGAGGAGAGGTGAGTGGGGGACAGAGAGCGCATGGATTGGTTATGTGAACTCTGTGCCTGTCTGCTGCGCCCTCGGCTCACAGGCAGAGGGCCGGGCGGCTGCTGGGGTTCCTGCTGGGAGTGACAGGCGCGCAGGAGGAGAGGTGAGCACAGGGCAAGGGAGAGGCTTGAACGGGGGTTTGGAGGAGGTTTAGGAGGGAAGGTGGGGGAGGTAGGGGTGGGTTCTTTCCTTACCATTCCTTGCCTGTTCTTATCAATCCCTACCAATCTTCACCTCTCCTCCCGCTCTGTCCCTCAATCCCAAGCCATTCCTCCTAGCTGTATGTTACCTGTTGTCTGCACTGTTGTCAATCCCCTGTGCCTGTGGTACCACTCCTTACATTTTCTTACCTCTCCGTACCACTCCTTACCACTCTATACCTTCTTTCCTCCCCTTCTCGCACCTCCTCCAGGCCACTCCTAGCTGTGCAGTACATGCTGCCTGCGTTGGTGCACATCACCAGTGAGCCACGTGGCTGCACATCATTGGTCAAGAGAGGAGGCCACATCCACGTGAGCAAAAAAACGCACATAGAAGACACAATAGAAAACACTATCTCGTCTCCCTAGATCTTTTCTCATAGAGCATTGTAGCAATGTAGGGATGCTCAATGTAAATAGAGCAATGTACATTGAGAGCTACAATGCTCAGCTCACTCATTGAGCTTGCCCAAAACATGGCCCTTGAGATTGCCCAAACCAACATACATAGACTGCAGCAGTATCCTCAGACTGTACTGTACTGTACTGCAGCAGTTGGGGCTGTACTGTACTCGCCAACTGTACTGCAGTTGGTGTTGGGCCATCTGTGACATCACACGCATGCATGCATGTCTCCTTGTCACTCATGGCGGGAGGGCAGCAGCACTAGAGAAAGGCTTTAGCAAGGATGAAAGAGAGTGAAAAAAAACCCTAGCTAGGAGAACTCTGATCGCAAAAAGCTGTACTCGCCAGCTGTACTGCAGTTGGTGTTGGGGCACCTGTGACATCACACACATGCATGTCTCCTCCCCCATCCCTCCTTCCTTTCTCCCCTCCCGCCCATCAGCTCATAGACTACATGGTGGAAACAGCGCTCACCAACATGCACCACCAGCTGCGGTCCGGACCCGAGGAGGGGCAGACGAGCCTCATGCCTTATGTGTCCTCCCACCCGCCCGCCTCCCTCGTCCCCTCACCCCCCTTTCCCCCCCATCAGCTCATAGACTACATGGTGGAAACAGCGCGCACCAACATGCACCACCAGCTGTGGTCAGGACCCGAGGAGGGGCAGACGAGCCTCATGCCTTATGTGTCCTCCCACCCGCCCGCCTCCCTCGTCCCCTCACCCCCCTTTCCCCCCCATCAGCTCATAGACTACATGGTGGAAACAGCGCGCACCAACATGCACCACCAGCTGTGGTCAGGACCCGAGGAGGGGCAGACGAGCCTCATGCCTTATGTGTCCTCCCACCCGCCCGCCTCCCTCATCCCCTCACCCCCCTTTCCCCCGCATCAGCTCATAGACTACATGGTGGAAACAGCGCGCACCAACATGCACCACCAGCTGCGGTCGGGACCCGAGGGGCAGACAAGCCTCATGCAGGCTGCTGACGTCATCCTCAACATCCTTGCGTGTGTACGTGCATGTGGCTCGAAGCACTGTCAGACACCAAGCACTTTTTACACCCCAAAAAACGCATCAAAACACCTCAGAATTCCTCGACACAACCGGAGCACCTGAAACCCTTTTTGAAGCACCGCAAACACCTCAAAACGCCTCCAAATACCTCAGAAACACGTCCATGGTTTATTCTACGATAGTGCCGGTTCATGGGAGATGTGTGTCTCCCCCAATCATATGCTGCCACTCCTCTCCCTCCGTTGCCCTCTCCAGCGGCAGGGCATGCGAGTTCCCTTGAATCCGCATGGCTTTTCATCCACTCTCGTTCTGTGTCCCTCTCATCTATCTTATCCGCCTTTCTTCTCCCTCCCTCTCCTCTCCCCCGCCCTCTCTCCTTCCCCCCTCTTCACCCTGCAGCGGAAGCAAATGCGAGTGCCCTTGGATCCACACGACTTTGTGTCGCTGCTGCCTGCCATGGCTGGATGGAGCAGCGTCAAAGGTGAGGCAGTAAGATGAGAGGTGAGCAGCCCTCCGGTAGGTGGGCCATGCCATGCCATATGAGTGGGTTCATCGCCTTACCTCTGGATCCGCATGACTTTATGCTGCTGCCGCCGGCCTTGGCTGGGTGGAGCTGCAAAAGGTGAGGCAGTAAGGAGTTGACAGGTAGGCAGTGGGGTTCCAAGGCGAGCAGCTCTCGGGTGGGTAGTTGGCCCATGCCATGCCATGCCATGCAAGTGGAGCGATCCCCTTGCTCTGTCCTTGGATCCTCATGACGTTGTGCCGCTGCTGCCTTCCATGGCTAGATGGAGCACCGTCCAAGGTGAGCAGTGAGTGTGAAAACTATGTATTCGCATAGCATGTAGGCATGCCATGCCATAGCGTGTGAAATGTGAGCAGTGAGGGAGGGTGAAAGTTGAACTGGTGGGAAGTGGGAAGCGGTTCTTACCCACGTTCTACTCTTCCCCCCCCCTTTCCCAGGACCCCTTCCTTCCACCATGCAACCCCCCTTTCCCCTGCACCTACTCAACCTCTTTAATTCCACCTGACTTTCTCCCTCGACCGAGCATCGACCCCCGCACAACCTACAAGACGCTGGCGCTAGCAGCGTGCGTAAACGCGTCAATCCTCGAGCTCTCCTGTGAAGACGTGGTGAAGTCGCTTGTAAATGCTACCTCTCCTGTAATGCGTGACCTGCCCTCCTCATCAGGCAATGACCCCCGCACCACATACAAGACCCTGGCGCTAGCAGCATGCGTAAACGCGTCGATTCTCGAGCTCTCGTGTGAGGATGTGGTGAAGAAGCGACTAGACCTGGCGACCTACAAGAAGCTGCCCAACTCGTTTGGTGTCATCGTCAAGTTTCTGGAGTTCGGCCACCGGGTGAGTGGGTGGGCAGGCCTGAGAGCTTTCAGGTAGGTGGGTGGGTGGGTTGAGTCGGTGTGTTGGCGGGTGGGTTAGGCCGGGTGTGGGCTTGAAAGACCCAGTGTAGTGGGAGCTCTCATGTGAAGACGTGGTGAAGAAGCGACTAGACCTGGCAACGTACAAGAAGCTGCCCAACTCGTTCGGCGTTATTGTCAAATTCCTCGAGTTTGGCCACCGGGTGGGTGGATTGGTGGGGTGTGCCTTGTATTGGGTGCATGCTGGGTGAGTTGAGGGTTCTGGGTGGATGGGTCGGTGGGTCAGTGCGTTGTTGGGTCGGTGGGGGGTAAGGCCAGGTATGGGCTTGCGAGGATGTGGTGAAGAAGCGGCTAGACTTGGCGACCTACAAGAAGCTGCCCAACTCTTTCGGCGTTATCGTCAAATTCCTCGAGTTTGGCCACCGGGTAGGTCCGTGTGATGAGATGAGAATTATGTGGAATTCTCTCTTAAGTGTGCTGGTGTTCTGTGTCAGGTGCTCTTTGAGTTTCTGTTGTTGTCATCCCATGGCATGGCTAACCTTTTCCGTCGTCGTGTTTCCGGTCATCTATTGCCCCGCTTGTGTTTGGCGTGCTCGCTGCTCCTGCCGCCTTGCTCTTGCAGAATAGCGGATCATTCAGTAGCGAGACGGAAATCAAGGAACTCTGGGACATCACTGTTGCATGTGAGTTTAGGGTTTAGTTTGGTTGATTATGTTATCAACGTCTGTCACTTCAACAGATCCTGTGAGTGTGGTGTGTTGCATGGTCGTCATTCAACTCTCTGTTATTCAAGCAACGCTGCTTGAACCTTGTCCCTGTCATTTTTTTCCCTGCCAGCATGCACGGAGTGCCTGTCCCTGTGGCCCCAGCTGAAGCCAACTGCACTGTTCATGCTCCCTTCACATCCTGCTCCTGTTCACCATCCGTTCCCCCCACCCACTCGTCCCTATCCCCCTCAATGCACCAGCATGCACGGAGTGCCTGCCCCTGTGGCCCCAGCTGAAGCGAGCCATGGTCAAGTCGGAGTATTGGGGCAAGGTGTCGCGAAACAAGTGAGTCAGATTGGGTGAAGTGAGTTGAAGTGAACTGCCTTGGAAACAAGGTGTGTATGAAGTTACAACAGAGCTGCCTTTGAAATTCCCAAGGCCCAGCTGAAGCGAGCCATGGTAAAGTCGGAGTATTGGGGCAAGTGTCGCGAAGCAAGTGAGTCAGTGTGTAAGATGTTATATATGAGCTGCATCTGAGCATTCTCTAAGGCACAGCTGAAGCGAGCCATGGTCAAGTCAGAGTGTTGGGGCAAGGTCTCGCGAAACAAGTGAGTCATTGTGTATAAAGTTACCGCAGAACTGCCTTTGAGAATTCTCAAAGGCGCACCTGAAGCGAGCCATGGTCAAGTCGGAGTATTGGGGCAAGGTCTTGCGAAACAAGTGAGTGCTTTCCTGGATGTGAGTTTGTATGAAGCTCAATTGGAACTGCCTCTGGAGATTCTCAATTGGGACTTCCTCTGCACCTGAAGCGAGCCATGGTCAAGTCAGAGTATTGGGGCAAGGTCTTGCGAAACAAGTGAGTGCTTTCCTGGATGTGAGTTTGTGTGAAGCTCAATTGGAACTGCCTCTGCACCTGAAGCGAGCCATGGTCAAGTCAGAGTATTGGGGGAAGGTCTCGCGAAGCAAGTGAGTCATTTCTAGTGAAGCTCGATTGGAACTGTCTCTGATAGTTCTTATAGGCCCAGCTGAAGCGAGCCATGGTCAAGTCAGAGTGCCGGGGCAAGGTCTCTCGAAGCAAGTGAGTCATTTTTGGTGAAGCTCACTTGCAACTGCCTCTGAAGTTTTCAAAGGCGCAATGAAGGCTGGTAACCCGGGAACGCCTTAACCAGGTGTGCAAGGATGCGAGGCTGAGGGAGCTGCTGGCAGTGGTGGCCTTCAGCCCTCAGCCCGCACCTCACTCTTTCCCCTGCTACTTTTCCCCTCCAACACCTTCCCCCCACCCTGCCCCCCCCACCCCCTAGGCTGGTAACTCGGAAGCGGCTGAACCAGATGTGCAAGGATGCGAGGCTGAGGGAACTGCTGACAGTGGTGGCTTCAGCCCGTAAATTCCCTGGATTCCACTCCTCATTCCCCATCCCTTCCCACTCTCATCCACTCTTCCCCGACACCAGGCTGGTAACTCGGGAGCGTTTGAACCAGGTGTGCAAGGATGCGAGGCTGAGGGAGCTGCTGGCAGTGGTGGCCTTCAGCCCGTGAATGGCCCTCGTTCTGCTAACAAGGTTTATCATTTCGAAAAGACAACCTATTCATTGGTTCTTTTGAAGATTATTCATATCTTATCTTGTGGGAGACGTAGTGCAAGCCAGTCATTGGTTGCGGAGCAAGGAGAGTCAAATCTCCTGGCTCTGACACAATTGATGGAATATAATAGAGATGTAGTTGCTAATTGTAGCAACTTGTAGCCGCTAATCATGGCAACTTTTGGCTGCTTAATGCCAGAAATATGTGGCAATATTCATTTGTGCTAGGAGCACAAGATCTCTAACAGGAGCAGAATCAACTCCATCCCTGGTTGGTCCACGTGCTGGTTCTACACGAAATGGTTGAACCGCGATTTCATTAGTCCAGGAGCATGTGCAGTATTGAATTACATCCACTGGATTTTAGATAATAATGCTACAGTACAACTGCATTGCCGGAACAATCTGTGTTTGCCCATGCAACCACATCACAAGCAATCGCGGAACAGCTGTGTGACGCACTTTCTACTGGTCAGGACAGCTCCCGGGATAGTCGGGAGCGGTACAGGGCACAGCGTTGCTAACTGGGGCAGCCTCAACTCCTCGTCGGTTCAAAAGGAACCGGCCGGCGGAACACGGAGGTGATGAGCCACACCACAGTACCATACTCCTCCGCAGGACCTTACTCTTCTGCTGGACCATACTCGCATGGTACCCTTAAGGCATTTTTTCTATTATTGATCAAGGCAGCCCCCGGGGTTTTCGGGATTGGAACGGGGAACTGCATTGCTCACAGGAGCAGCCTCAACTCCCCTTCGGTTCAGAAGGCATCGAAACACGTGCAATCGTTTCTCTGCCTCTCCGCTTGCTAGTGCAGCATCGGCATATGCTTTGGTGCTCCATAATCGCTCTGATAGGAGGGAGGGAGAAAAACATCAACAAATTAAAAGTCAGATGAGTTGACCTTCTCCCCCCACATGCACATCTCGCCCCTTTCCAGTAGCTAACAGGGTGCAACGCTCTTCATACTGCAACATGATGGTACAGCAGCTTGCCCTTCATCTCACCAGCAGCAGCAGCAGCTCGTGGCCAGATGGTTGGCATGAAGTCAGACGAGTCGACCTTCTCCCCCCACATGCACACCTCTCCCCCTTCCAGTAAAATTGTGCAGCTTCTATTGCGGAAGTACACGTTTACTCAGCAATTTCAGCATCACACTCACCAGCAGCAGCAGCAGCTCGTGGCCAGATGGTCGGCATGAAGTCGGACGAGTCAACCTTCTCGCCCCACATGCACACCTCGCCCCCTTCCAGTAGATGCTCCGGTATAGAGCCATCCACTACAAGGTGTTGTGTTGGGTCTGTACTATACACTCTATTCCAATCCTGCATAAGGGATGGAAGGGAAACGGACAGGGAAAGGAAAAGGAGGTAGTGAGAGCCTCGTTATAAGCTACTGGATGGATGGTTGATGCCCAGATTCCTAATATTGAGTGCAACATTATACAGCACTTGTCGTGCCCATGTAACCGCTACAGGAAATTCCTCGTACAAGTTGCTGCAGAAAATCTGGAAGACTTCACATGTCCTCTTCTAATAATGTCCTCTTTTGAAAGTGCTTCACCATAAGCCACTCATACACCATACACATTGGTGCAGATTATTCGGAACCCTTTAAGCATCATGCCATCAATGTTATCCGCATTAAAAAGCTTCTCATTATAAGCCGCTCACCACATCCATAGAATCGAGGTACCATCCGCCATACACATTGCTGTAAATAATGCGAAAGTTGTCACGAGCCATGCTTCCAAGAATGTCAACATTCAACCTGACACGAGCGAAACAATGATATATTCTGTCAGAGGCAGGTCAGAAGCAAGGGTAGCATGTCAGACGAAGAAAAGAGAAGAACGCGGCATTTTCTTGTATTCTAAACATGAGAAAAAAAATTGCTATCGACTTAAGATAAATATTATTTTGATCATACCAGTTTTGAAGAATGGTGGTCGTCTTGTTAAGGTCCTCTGAGAAACCCTGGTATGATTCCTCCCTGCACATGTGAAGGGAAACAAGCAGAAAGGTGACTCAGAAGTTCACTCCGAATTTTTTTTGAAAGTTTCGAAGGATGGTGGTTGTCTTGTTGAGGTCCTCTAAGAAACCCTGATAGGATTCCTCCCTGCATGCAGAGGGGGAAGGAGCAAAGAAATGAGGAGCAAAACAACAAGGTTTATCCCTGCCTAAGGGGTCGGTAATTGCCGCTATTACCTCATGTGAGCTTGGAAGGGAGAAGACCGTGGGATGAGATGGGACGAGACCATAATCACCACAGCACACACACCATACTAAAATTTTCTCGCATCCAAGTTCCAAGCCAATGGATCGAACCCCGGTTAGAGACACTTGAGATTAGACCATAACACCATAATTAAGTACCACACATACCATACTATAGTCTTCTCTCATCCGGGCTCCAAGGCAAAGGATCAAACCGAACTCATCTAGTAACACATGAAAGGAAACCACGACCAGCAGTAATACCTCTGCACGGGATGGTTACCAGACGCACCATACAATTGTATTTTCCCATCCAAGATCCAGGGCAATGGATCGAACTCGGTTGGAGAGACATGAGATGAGACCGGGTGTAGAGAAATACAGTGGGACACATGAGCTTGGATGGAAGAAGTCCGTGGGATGAGATGAGAGTGATGTATCACGATGGTCTTCTGTTTTTGAGTCGACTCAAAAACTGGATGAGATGAGAGTGATGTATTATGGGATACATACCATATGATGGTCTTCTCTCATCCAATTTTGAGACGTCTCAAAACTCGATTCCTTTTGAGACGTCTCAAAACTCGATTCCTTTTGAGACGTCTCAAAACTCGATTCCTTTTGAGACGTCTCAAAACTCGACTACTTTTGAGACGTCTCAAAGCTATACTATGGGATACATACCATATGATGGTCTTCTCTCATCCAAGCTCCAAGGCAATGTATCGAACTCCCTTTGAGACACATGAAAGAAGTCCATGACTGACAGACACACAAGTGCATGGTATGCTGTAACCACCATAGGATACATACCATACGATGGTCTTCTCCCATCCAAGCTCCAAGGCAATGGATCGAACTCGGTTGGAGAAGTAGCGGACGGCATCCCTTGGCTGCATTCCCTGCTGATTCATCCTGTGGAAAGCATGCGTGAGAGGTGGGGCAGAGAGAGCAGACATCTTGAGACGCCTGAGACAAAATAATACATCATAGCAACTTCACAACAAAATGACGATTCAACATTCTTCTGAGACGTCTCAAGGGACGTTCGTAGCTAGCTTGGGACAATGATGCATACATCATAGCAATTTCACAGGAAAATCATTGGGAAGCCTTGTGCTGCTTGAATTCGTAGCTTACCACTGGGAAATCCGTTCAGACTGTATCCAGCAGTCTGGTGGAAGGGAGGCAGGTACATGATCAAGGGGGGACGGGGCCAGGAGAATGGAAGAGGTAAGCGAGAGGTATGCACACCACTGTTATATCCGTTCAGACTGTATCCAGAAATCTGGTGGAAGGGAGGCAATGGAAAGAGAGACCAGGCAAACAGAGGCAATCCGACTTTGAATATTTCATTGTGAGTCTGCGAGTCGACTCAAAAATAGAGGCGATTCGACTATGAATATTTCATTGTGAGGTGCAAAATAGGTATAACCCTAAACCCAACCCCCCTTCTCTTTTCTCACTCTTCCGGTCCCACTGCCACTCATGTGCCCCGTCCTGTTCCCGCCCTTCTCTCATCCTGCCTCTCTCATTCCCCCTTCCCAATCTCTCTCTCCCTCTCCCTCCCTGTCACCTACCTTCCTTCACCTCGTCCCCGCCTATGTGTATTCTGCTGCTTGTGAAAACTGAGCGCAGGTCTGCAGGGGGGTGGAGAAATGGGAATGAAGGGAAACTAAGCGGATAGAACCAGCAGGGTGAGAGTCCCCGCCTATGTGTATTCTGCTGCCTGTGAACACTGTCCACAGATCTGCAGGGGTGGAGGGAGGGGGGAGAGAGGATTTGGGGGGGAATACCAGGACGAAAGGGGAGTGAATGGAGATGAAGGGGAAACAAGCAGGATAAGTGAGTCTCAGTCAGCCTATCCGAATCCTGCTCCCTGTGAACACTGAGCGCAGATCTGCTATTTGGGAGTCACTTTTGAGAATTCTCAAAAAGGAGTGAATGGAGATGAAGGGGAAACAAGCAGGATAAGAGAGTCTCAGTCAGCCTATGTGGATCCTGCAGCCTGTGAACACTGACCAGAGATTTGCAGGGGAGGGGGGTGAGAGAGGGAAGGGGAATGAATCCGAAGGGCGACAAGCACGCAGGATGAGAGTCCCCTCCCATGTGTATTCTGCTGCTTTTGAACACTGACCGCAGATCAGCAGGGGAGGGGTTTGGGAGAGGTGGTCAGGGAGAAAGGAAGGGAGAGAATGGGGATGAGATGATGGCGAAACCAGAAGGGTGAGAAACGCATTAAATCAAAATTAATCCTGCTGCCAGTGATGCGAACATTGGGCGCAGATCTGCAGGGGAGGTGGGAGGGGCTGAAGAGAGAGGAGGAGGGAGAAAGGGGGAGCGAATGGGAGACAGAGGGAAAACGAAGAATGAAAGGGAAAACAAACAGGGAAGGAGAATAAGGTTTGACGAGAGAAATTTGCTAGCTGCTCACGTATCTGCTGCAAGCAACCCCGTCCCTTCAGAAGCCAGTGGTAACGTACCAGTGAGCACGCCCTTGATCAGCTCAAAAGCGAACTCGCTAGAGACTTATAAATAGATACTCCACTAAAGAGTTACTGCACAATCTTGTAACGTACCAGTGAGCACGCCCTTGATCAGCTCAAAAGTGAAATTTTTTTACACATCCAGAGGTTCCTTGCAGGTGGGGCTGGGGTGACTTTTGGGTCGACTATGAATATTCGGCCTTTTGGCGCTCCTGTGAGTGAGGATAGGCATGTTAGGTTGTAACGTACCAGTGAGCACGCCCTTAATCAGCTCAAATGTGAAGTCGTTTGAGACATCAAGAGGCTCCTTGCAGGTGGGGCTAGGGTAGAGCACAGGGTAGCCCACTCCCCTGTAAGGACGGATGGAAGGGGTAGGGTTCGGAGGCAGTGACAGGAAGTGAGGCAGAAGAGGCAGGGAGGTTCTACAGGCACACCCTGAGGCTCTTTGCGGGTGGGGTCTGGGATAGAGCACGGGGTAGCCCACCCCCCTGTAAGGACGGATGGGACAGGGGGTAAGGAGGCAGCGACAGGAATTGAGGAACGCATAAGAGGGAGGGAGGTTGTACAGGCGGGACTCCTTGCAGGTGGGGCTGGGGTAGAGCCCGGGTATCCCACTCCCCTGGGAGCACGGATGGGATAGGGAGAGGGGAAGGAGAAGGGAAGGTGTAATCAGAGGCAGGCGGTGTGAGCCATGTCTCTAGGCACATGCAGGGACAATGAGAGGCCCTTGCAGGTGGTGTGGTGTTGGGGTAGAGCAGAGCACGGGATAGCCCACTCCCCTGAGGGTATGGATGAGATGGGGTAAGGATAGAGGATGGGACTGGCAGGGAAGGGAGGATTGGGGAAAGTGTGAGTCATGAACCTAGCCTAGGAGCATAAAGAGACTCCTTGCGGGAGGGACCTGGGCTGGGATAGAGCACGGGGTAGCCCACTTCCCTGGGAGGACGGATGGGTTGGGGCAGGGAGGGGGGAAATGGGTACGCATGGATGGCCTGGGCAGGATTCAGTCAAGTGTTGAAACATGTCAAGATTTGACTGAACGCTACATGTCTTCATGAAAAAAGGCATGGTCAGTAGCCCAGTCAGACAAAATGTCTCACCATGAGGTCGCATGGGCGGGAGTGTCGATTTCAGGGATGACCACGATGCCACGTGCTGCTGCATACCTGGTGGGTGGAGAGGGGTGCAGAGCAGTGCAAAGGGGTGAAGAGGCGTGAATACTGGTGCAGTAAAGCACGTGCAGAGTGTGCATTGTTCCGCCTGGGAGGAACTCCATTCCAGAGGAGAGGGAAAAATGAAGTCCTTTCACAATCACCTGAAAAAGCACCTGAGTATTCACCTGACAATGTGTTTGGCGTCCTTGAGCGTGTATCGCTCTACCTGGGAGAAAGCTCCCTCCCAGAGGCGAGGGAAGGAGGGCGTTTCAATGGGGAAGGACTGAGCATCCACCAGATGCCAGTGGCTGGAGAGGGGTGGAGAGGGATGGAGATGTGTGAATGTAAGAACTTAAGTGCATGTAATGCATGTTGGTGTAGGAAGGGGTACAGGCGAAAGGAAGGAGTCGCTCTGCGGAGGGGCTGGAGAGCGGTGGAGATGGGTGGAGAGGTACAGATATTAGGCAATGTAAACACAGGGTATGCATGTATGCAACCCACCCATCCCTGCATCTACCCATTCCTCCAACCTACCCATCCAATTCCTGCACTCACAGCACGTTGAGCTTGGCATAAGACATGGCGTCAAGCACTCTCTCTATCTCCACCACCGGGAGGAAATGCCGTGCCGTGTCTGCTCAACGCAATGGGGATGGGGAGTGGGGGGTGAGGGAGAGGAAGAAGGAAGGGGAGAAAAGGCCAAATCGTGTCTCCTCAACGCAAGGGAAGAGAGGGCGACCGTGGATAGTCACAAGGCGAGATGGGTGGTGATAGGTAGGGTAGCAACACAGCTGCCTATGAGGCGCCCTACATCATCATCTCATCACTCCCCATCCCGCTGCAGGGATTTTTTGGGAATTCTAAAAAAAACCCGATAGGTAGGGTAGCAACACAGCTGCCTATGAGACGCCCTACATCATCTCATCACTTCCCATCCCACCGATGAGAAACCCTGCCAGCCCCCGGTGGTGGAAGCGGGGAGCATCTTCCACTGTGAGAGGCACACCGTTCATTGTCACGAGGCGAGATGGGTGGTGGAAGGGTAGCAACACAGCTGCCTATGAGACGCCCTACCTCATCTCATCACTTCCCACCCCACCGATGAGAAACCCTGCCAGCCCCCGGTGGTGGAAGCGAGGAGCGTCTTCCACTGTGAGAGGCACACCGTTCATTGTCACGAGGCGAGATGGGTGGTGGAAGGGTAGCAACACAGCTGCCTATGAGACGCCCTACCTCATCTCATCACTTCCCACTCCACCGATGAGAAACCCTGCCAGCCCCCGGTGGTGGAAGCGAGGAGCATCTTCCACTGTGAGAGGCACACCGTTCATTGTCACGAGGCGAGATGGGTGGTGGAAGGGTAGCAACACAGCTGCCTATGAGACGCCCTACATCATCTCATCACATCCCATCCCACCGATGAGAAACCCTGCCGCACTTCACTCACCAATGAGCAGCCCGCGGTGGTGGAAACGGGGAGAATCTTCCACTGTGAGAGGCACACCATGGATAGTCACGAGCCGAGATGGGTGGTGGTATTGCCACCGCTGCTGCTCATGGGGTCTATGAGAAACCCCATCTCTTCACACTCACCAATGAGCAGCCCCCGGTGGTGGAAACGGGGAGAATCTTCCACTGTGAGAGGCACACCATAGATAGTCACGAGCCGAGACGGGTGGTGGTAGCGCCACCGCTGCTGCTCATGGGGTCTATGAGAAACCCCATCTCTTCACACTCACCGATGAGCAGCCCGCGGTGGTTGAAACGGGGAGAATCTTCCACTGTGAGAGGCACACCATAGATAGTCACGAGCCGAGATGGGTGGTGGTAGCGACACAGCTGGCTGAGCGTCTATCAGGGCAAAAGGAGATACGCAGAGACCAAGAATATGAGGTTGAAGAGGGTGTGTGCGAGGAAGAAGAGGGGGGCAAAGTTGAGAAAATGAAATTGAAGCGGGAAGCAACTTTTACCGCACTCTCTGAGGGAACCAATCGATGTGCTGACCTGACGGGCCTGACCTGAGCGTGGCATATGCCTTACCTTCTAACCCATTATCCTGGTACCGCCTGCCTGCCAACAACGCTCACTGCTAACGCTCTGAGGGCACAAAATGATGTGCTGGCCTGAGGGGACCTCACCTGAGTGTGGCATATGCTTTACCTTCCAATCCTGGTACCGCCTGCCTGCCCCGGAGCCTTACCTGCTTGATATACTTCCTACGTGCTTGAATGTATCAGCCCCCAATAACGCTTACCTCTAACGCTCTGAGGGCGCCAAACGATGTGTTGGTCTGAGGGACCTGACCGGCATATGCCTTACCCTCTCCTCCTTATACCGCCCGCCTGCTTCTGACCCTGTCTGCTTGAATGTATCAGCCCCTAACAACGCTTACCTCTAACGCTCTGAGGGCACCAAACGATGTGTTGGCCTGAAGAAAGAGGGACGGGGGAGGGAAGGGGACGAGGGCGGAAGAGAAGGCAAGGGGATATGGGAGGGAGGAGCGAAGAGGACGAGGGAAAGCGGAATGTGGTGAGAGGTTTGGAGGGGCTGGAAGGGTTGGAGTGGGTGGAGAGGTGGGTGGTGGGTGGACGGAGCAGCAGCAGAAGCAGCAGCAGCAGCAGCAGAAGCAGCAGCAGCAGCAGCAGCAGCAGCAGCAGCAGCAGCAGCAACGGCACAAGACTAGCACCACCTGGCCTGAAAACTCTCATAGATCGACGTACCTTTATCAGAGCGGCACCTGGCTCTCTTGTTCCTCCGAGCGAGAGAGAGTAGCTCTCATCCACCCCTACATCCAGCTGAAAGTTGGCACGAAGAGTGAAGGGATAGAGAGCGATAACTTTCTGAGACGTCTCGAATGTTGTCTGAATCAGAGAGCCGCCTGGCTCTCTCGTGCTCCAAGCGAGAGAGTACAGCTCTCATCCACCCCTACGTCCAGCTGAGAGTTGACAGGACGCTAGAGAGAGGAAAGAGAGAAAATGAGTATTTTCAGTTAACAAAAAAAACCTCCTGCATTCGTCGAAAGCAGATACACGCACTTCTGCCAGAAGTCACTCTCAGTCTGGCCTTCCCTCGTTAGAGTGCCCCCTCACATCCTCACCGGTTCTCCTGGCCGCGCTATTTGCACATCGATTTGCTCTATCACCACCACCGTCGCACGGGAGTTGGTCGCAGCTTTACCCCCCTGCGACGTCGCACTCGCAAACGAATCGTCGAGCTCGGAATAGTCGTCGCCATACTCGTGCGCGAAGATAATGCGATGGTACCGGTTGTACGCTTTTGTCACAAGGTCACGAGAGGAATCCTCGTCGGCCGCTGAGGCTTTACCAAATGAGACGGTCAACTGGCTAAATGGGCTAAAAATTGCCGGCCTGACAACATCCTTTCCATTGGACGACTTAAACTGACGTGGCATGGGCCAGACGCGCATTTTCGGGTCCAGCAGGCCCGGATATTTCGTAGCCAATAGATCGCCGTCGCGGTTATTCGCTCCCTGTCGCACGAAATCGTCAAGCCGCCGCTCCCATTCTTCCATGCGGCGCTGATCCATTTCAGGCCCGGCATTGCCAGGAGCTTCGCCGTCATTTCCGGAGGTGGAGACCGGTAACAATTCTGAATCATATATTTTGTGCGGGATTAGAAGAACTATTAGCACGCAGAGGATAAGGAGGAGGAGGATGATCAAGAAAAAGGAGGCTCGGGCAGGAAGTGAGAAATTTGTAGCTGTTGATATTGACCCGGATTTAGGCTGCGCCGAATCGATGAACGACTGAGTTTCTAGACTGGAGTGGTCGTCGTCATTTGACATCATTGGTCGAGACTCGTTGTCATTGTTCATGCTAACAACGGCCTCGTCGTCTGTCCGTGTCCGAGCCGACATGTCGATCTAGCGTTTACGCTCCGACTAGGAAGTTCCGAGTAACAAAAACAACCACGGAACCGCGGAGCTACGTCACTGCCTCCGTGACTGTAAGACTGCTTTAGCGCAAACGAAATTGCGGTCAATCAGTAGTGCGTGCTAGCGGAGCCATTTGTTACTAGCATCAGCGAACGAGCTTCGCAGTGCTTTTTCCAAATTAGTCGAATGTGGTGGCTAACGGGGAGCGGAAGTGCAGGCAGCTGGGATTGGAAGGAAAGGACATGACCATTGTCAATAAATAAAGAGAACTGCTGGTAATAAATTACATGTGACTTGAGCGAAGACATCACCAATACATTTGACTAGGGCGAGCCTGGATGACCATGGTCATCAAAGGGAATGTGGTGCTTGTAAAAATATTGACAGGTAGCCACGCTGTACCGCTAAGAACCGCACCATCTGACATCCATCTCTCCCAAGGCTCTGGTTTGAAACTGGCACTAGCAGGCAGCGAAAGTGACTTTGCTGTAGCTGAAGTGAAGAGACGAATGCGGAGGTTCACTTGGCTCTGGAATTCATGGGTTGCATGGTGTCCTTAAAAGATCGCCTCAAATTACAGTGGTTTGAAGGTGTGATATGCGGTTTCATACAGTTTCGTGCGATTGTGTGATGATAGCTGATTGGGCGTCCGGCATCGTCGCCTCTCTCCGCACCATCAATCCTGCCACAAGAAACTCCTCCAGTTGAGAATGGGGAAGAGTAGAGGGTAGAGTTGCGGGACACTTGAGAAAAAGCCAGAGCTCAAGCAAATGATCAGCGAAATCGTTCGTTCGCAGAGGCACTGCGACGGAAAGAAGCATACACCAAGCCTGCTCAGTCCCGTAGAACTTGGGAGGCAACTAGGTAACCCGAAACAAACAAAGAGCCACTAACGGCCTGTGATTGAATAACGCGTGGCGTGGCTGTGATTGGTATAAAATGTTTTCAGCTTTATCCCGTTGTCGACATCACCGAGGTTGACTTCATCAGAACCTTGGGATTCTCAAATTTGAAATTTTCCCGCCTTCCACGACCTCGAGTCGAGAATTCCTTTTTTCCTTTGGTCCCTCGTCGTCACTTTTGGGGAATTTTTCTGCCTGGGTTCCAGGTAGATCAAACCTCAAACCTCCGAGGGGAGGACGTGGCGCCGTGGAGTTTGACACGCCAGTATCAGGATTCATACAGATGCACAAGCACAACACACAGATACGCCTCACAAGTAGCTCTCCGTTCCAAGTTTCCTCGTCGTCGACCCTATCTCAGGTGGCCTTTGATCAAGGCGTCGTCGTTCACCCGTGCATCCCTCGATCTTATCCCCACTCCCTCGTTCGAACTTCAATCGAGAGGACCCGAGACAATGTCGCAAGGAGGCGGATTCGTTCCCATGCCTGGCTCCGCTAACCCCCCAGCCGTAAACGGAGACTATAATAATGGAGATTTCGAATCCCAGTTCCTTCTTCCCGAATCCGAGCTGCTGCAAGCTCTTCCTGAGGATATTCCTCTGGAGCACCTAAGAAAGTCTTTTAGCGTCGACACTCTCCTGACTGATTTTCAGCGCACTGGGATTCCAACCGCAAGCCCTTATGCTCCGAGACACGCAGTCGCTCCATCAGCTGCTGACGGGGTAGACCAGGGAAAGCACCGAGAAGGAACTACTGGAAGAGCGTTTCTAGGAGGTTCAGAAAAATCGGACAGATTAGGAGCATCTGGAAATTCTCACGAGCGCGATTCAGAATCTACCATGGCAGCGGCGCCTGGGACACTAGCGGTAGCGCCGCCGCATCTTCTGGAATCCATGTTTCCCGGCATGGAGTTCCCTAGGCCGTTCACGAACGGCGACGTTGCGAACAGTTTCGCGAACGGCGAGAGCGCTAGGCTCGCGCAAGCGGATGTAGCGAACAGCTTCTATGAAACCGGCAAAAGAGCCGGTGACAACCGGCGCGGCGGTAGCAGCAGCGTTGCCGGTAGTTCCGCTGCTGCGACGTCTTCATCCGGTGCCGTAGACGCTGCTGACGTGGCCGGGTTACACGCGCAACGGGACGCGGTTTTGCGTGGGTTCGAGATCACGGAACCGGCGAGAGACGACAAGGAAACGGGCGAGAAGGCCAAGTACATGGCGTCGATTCTGGAGGCTTATCAGAAGCTGCTGGAAGAACGGACCCAGTACCACTTTGGTACGTCAAAATGGACTTCATGTTTGGTTTTGAGTTGGGTTTTTGAAGGCAGTGAGAGGGGGAGAAGGTGAAGTACATGGCGTCGACTCTGGAGGCTTACCAGAAGCTGCTGGAAGAACGGACTCAGTACCACTTCGGTACGTCAGAATGGGGTTTAAATTTGGTTTTGAGTTGAGTTTCTGAGGCAGTAGGAGAGGGAGAAAAGTAGGCTACATGGCTTCGGTCGAGGTGTCCCAAAAGGTGGTGCCAGAACGCACTCAGTACCACTTTAGCGAGTCGGGATGTTGTCAGAATGGAGTTGATGTCGGTATTTAAGGTGTGGCGAAGGCAAAGAGAGTGGCAGTCGGGATAGGTAGAATCATTGCGGTATTATGCATTAATGCCCATCTGAAGCTGCTGGGAAGGACGCACTCAGTACCGCTTTGGTGCGTGTGGGTGTTCGGCCTTTATGTATAGCTGTAATGAATAAAGCGCGGAGCTACCAGCTTGTTGACTTTTTTCGCATTCATTCACCTTTCGGTATGGGAAGGTGGTGGGAGGGTGTTGGTAGATTGGGGGGCCGGGGGTTTGTGCCTGGCGGTTATTTTTAACGTTTAATCACTATCTGAAATTATTGGAAACAAGAGCGAAGAAACCAGCTTGGTAAGGGGAAGGGTGTTGGTAGAATGGGGCAGAGCGCATATGTGTGCAACAACTGTCACGGTGATCGTTTGTGGTTGCTGGATTGTATTATTGCGCCTAGAGCGCCTAGAGAACTGCATCATTTCCATTTGCTGTTTATCTCCTTCCATTTACATCGTACAACCTTGATTCTGGCATATATAGCACCTGATTACTTCTGTCGTTTCCATTTCTTGTCTTCTTTTTTTTCTCCTCCCAGGCTACCCATACAACCTGGATTTTGACTATGGCGCCCTCATAGGTCTGCAGCACTTCTCCATTAACAATCTCGGGGATCCCTTTATCGAGAGCAACTATGGCGTACACTCCCGTCCGTTCGAGGTATACCTGAGTCGACTCAAAAGTTTTTACCATAAACAATCTCGGGGATCCCTTTATCGAGAGCAACTTTGGCATGCACTCCCGTCCTTTCGAGGTATTTCCTTCTGCCTCTGCAAAACCCTGGTTAAGCCCCTAGGCTTTCTTTTCTTAGGCACTAAACCTTCCCTTACTCCACGCAACTCCTGTGTTTCTGCCTATGCCAGGTGGGAGTGCTCAACTGGTTTTCCCGCCTGTGGGACTTAGACGAGGGCGACTACTGGGGCTACATAACCAACTGCATCCTAACATTTCCCCCCGTGCACCCCTCTTCACCACTCTTCACCCCTTCCCCCACCTTCGATGCCAGGTGGGAGTGCTCATCTGGTTTTCCTTCCTGTGGGACTTAGACGAGGGCAACTACTGGGTCTACATCACCAACTGTGTCAAAAGTCATCTATAAATGAAGCAGGTCTCCTTCTGTCAACCGCTCTGCACCGCTCTTCATTTATCCTCATCACTGTCCTTTACCCATCTGGCAGGTGGGAGTGCTTAACTGGTTTGCTCGCCTGTGGGACTTAGACGAGGGCGACTACTGGGGCTACATCACCAACTGCGGCACAGAAGGGAATCTCCACGGCATCCTGGTTGGGTACGTCTTGCCCGTCTGCACCGCTCTGCACCCCTCTGCACCCTTCTGCACCCCACTTCATCATTCTTTCTCCACTCATCCCTGTTCGCCTCTCCTCATCCCTTTTCATCCATTTCCAGCCTTCTTTGTCCTCTTGGCCCTCTTCCTCCCCTCCCCTTGCGTCTCTCCTCCTCCCATTGCCCCTCTTCCTCCCCTCCGCCTACCTCTGTTCCTTCCTCCCTCCCCTCTCCCAGTCGAGAAGTCCTGCCAAAAGGAGTGCTGTACGCGACTAGGGAGTCCCATTACTCGGTCTTCATGGCAGCTCGCATGTATCGCATGGAGTGTGAGAAGGTGACCACTCACACCGCTGGGGAGACAGGGACTCAGTCATTCCCTTCCCTACTCACTCCCTCTCTTCCTCTCCGTCCTCCCAGGAGGGAGATCCTGCCAGCCGGGGTGCTGTACGCATCTAGGGAGTCCCACTATTCGGTCTTCAAAGCAGCTCGCATATATCGCATGGAGTGTGAGAAGTCATGTGGAGACACCCATAAGCATACTCGCTCTTCCCCCCTCCCTTGCTCCCTTTCTCCCAGGAGGGAGGTCCTGCCAGACGGGGTGCTGTACGCGACTAGGGAGTCTCACTACTCGGTCTTCAAGGCAGCTCGCATGTATCGCATGGAGTGTGAGAAGGTGGCCACTCACACGGCCGGGGACATTGAGGTTTGCTTTTCTCAAGATGGCACTTGCCTCTCTTTTTCTCCCTCTCCCCTCTCCCAGGAGGGAGGTCCTGCCAGACGGGGTGCTGTACGCGTCTCGGGAGTCCCATTACTCTGTCTTCAAGGCAGCTCGCATGTATCGCATGGAGTGTGAGAAGGTGGCGACCCACACGGCTGGGGACATTGACTGCCGGGATCTGGCTGGGAAGCTGGCCAGGCACAGAGGCCGACCTGCAATCCTTAATGTGAACATTGGTACGTATGTAGTATGTGTCTAGCACGTTTGTAGTGAATCCCACTACTCGGTCTTCAAGGCAGCTCGCATGTATGGCATGGAGTGTGAGAAGGTGGAGACCCATACGGCTGGGGACATTGACTGCCGGGATCTGGCTGGAAAGCTGGCCAAGCACAGAGGCCGACCTGCGATTCTCAATGTGAACATTGGTGAGTGCGCGACTAGCAAGGACAAAATAAAGCGAGAGAGAAAGGGGTGGATAGGTAAAGAGTAGAAGACTCGCATGCGGCTGGGGACATTTGCCGAGATCTGGCTGGCAAGCTTGCCAAGCACAGAGGCTGACCTGCAATTCTCAGTGTCATCATTGGTGAGTGTGACTATAGATGACTTTAGCTTGTTATGAAAATTATAAAGTTAGACGACCAATTTTCTCATTGCATGCGCATGCCCTCTCCTCTCCTCCTCCCTTCTGCCCTTCCCCCTCATGCAGCCCTATCTCTCCCGCTGCTCCACACGCAAAAACCACATCAAAGGGAGCAGTGGACGATTTGGATCTGGTCATCACCACACTGCATGAGGCAGGGCTGTCAAACTCACCCAGGGGGCTCGCTTCTGTCTCACGGCCTCCTCTCCCTCCCCTCTCAAGCGGTCCATGTATTAGCAACCAGAAAGTACAAAGCAAGCACGGGGGGATATAGCACATGGGACATACATCTCAGTTACTAACCAGGGTTTAGGGTGAAGGGAGCAGTGGACGATCTCAACCTGGTCATCACCACACTGCACGAGGCAGGCTTTTCAGACTGACTCAGGAGCTCTCTTCCTCCTCACTCCCTCCGCTCCCTCTCTTCTCTCTCCCATCTGCCTCTGTTCCTAACCCCCCCCAGGCACCACGGTGAAGGGAGCAGTGGACGATCTCAACCTGGTCATCACCACACTGCACTGCATGAGGCAGGCTGGCCGGATCACTAGTTTCTCCCCCCACGCTTGCTGCCCCCACCCTCCCCCCCCCAGGCACCACAGTGAAGGGAGCAGTGGACGATCTTGACCTGGCCATCACCACGCTGCACGAGGCAGGCCTGTCGGACCACCAGTTGTCCCCCCCACGTGTGCTCCCATCACACGTGCTCAACCTGCGCTTGCTGCCCTCACCAGGCTCTCTTTCTTCCTCCCCATGGCTTGTTTCCCCTCCCTCACCAACCCCCCCCCCCCAAGGCACCACGGTGAAGGGAGCAGTGGATGATCTCGATTTGGCCTTTACCACACTGCACGAGGCAGGCCTGTCAGACTGGTGACCGGTTCTATACCCAGAGGCTCTCTTCCGAGTCGACTCAAAAGTCAACTTTTGAGTCGACTCAAGAGTCAACTCTGGTGACCCGTTCTATACCCAGAGGCTCTCTTCGTCCCCACGTCTTGTTTCCTCTCCCTCACCCCCCCCCCCCTCTCCACCCCCAGGAACCACGGTGAAGGGAGCAGTGGACGATTTGGATCTGGTCATCACCACACTGCACGAGGCAGGCCTGTCGGATGAGCAGTTCTACATCCACTGTGACGGAGCCCTCTTTGGCCTCATGCTGCCGTTTGTCAAGAAGGTAAGAGGCGGGCTGGGCACCGTGCAGACAGCAGGTCATGGGTGCTGCCGGTACCAGTAGCGTCCCTCCACAAGGCGGGTCTCTCAGGCGAGCAGTTCTACATCCAATGCGACGGAGCCCTCTTTGGCCTCATGCTGCCGTTTGTCAAGAAGGTACCACATGGGTAGTATGCAATCAGTAGTGCCATACGGTACAGCACGGCACTGTGTTTTGAGACGTCTCAAACAGGTACCACATGGGTAGTATGCAATCAGTAGTGCCATACGGTACAGCACGGCACTGTGTTTTGAGACGTCTCAAACAGGTACCACATGGGTAGTATGCAATCAGTAGTGCCATACGGTACAGCACGGCACTGTGTTTTGAGACGTCTCAAAACAGGTACCACATGGGTAGTATGCAATCAGTAGTGCCGTACGGTACAGCACGGCACTGTGTTTTGAGACGTCTCAAACAGGTACCACATGGGTAGTATGCAATCAGTAGTGCCATACGGTACAGCACGGCACTGTGTTTTGAGACGTCTCAAACAGGTACCACATGGGTAGTATGCAATCAGTAGTGCCATACGGTACAGCACGGCACTGTGTTTTGAGACGTCTCAAAACAGGTACCACATGGGTAGTATGCAATCATTAGTGCCGTACGGTACAGCACGGCACTGTGTTTTGAGACGTCTCAAACAGGTACCACATGGGTAGTATGCAATCAGTAGTGCCATACGGTACAGCACGGCACTGTGTTTTGAGACGTCTCAAACAGGTACCACATGGGTAGTATGCAATCAGTAGTGCCGTACGGTACAGCACGGCACTGTGTTTTGAGACGTCTCAAACAGGTACCACATGGGTAGTATGCAATCAGTAGTGCCATACGGTACAGCACGGCACTGTGTTTTGAGACGTCTCAAACAGGTACCACATGGGTAGTATGCAATCAGTAGTGCCATACGGTACAGCACAGCACTGTGTTTTGAGACGTCTCAAACAGGTACCACATGGGTAGTATGCAATCAGTAGTGCCGTACGGTACAGCACGGCAGTGTGCAGGGTGTGGTATAGTGTATCAGTAGAGTCACTCCACGAGGCAGGCCTGTCGGACGATCTGTTCTACATCCAATGCGATGGGGCCCTCTTCGGCCTCATGCTGCCCTTTGTCAAGAAGGTACGCTCTTCCTATTATGCTCTCAGTAGTGCCATACGGTACAGCACATCAGTGGTGCTGGTGTGGTGTATCAGTAGAGCTTCTCTTGAGGCGCCTCAAAAGTCGTTCCTATTATGCTCTCAGTAGTGCCATACGGTACAGCACATCAGTGGTGCTGGTGTGGTGTATCAGTAGAGCTTCTCTTGAGGCGCCTCAAAAGTCGTTCCTATTATGCTCTCAGTAGTGCCATACGGTACAGCACGGCAGTTTGCTGGTGTGGTGTGCCAGTAGAGAGACACTCCACGAGGGGGGGCTGCCAAACGATCAGTTGTACATCCACTGAGGTGGGGTGGGGGCTACTTTGGCCTCATGCTGCCCTTCGTGAAAAAGGTAAGGTGTGGCTAGTGGCTAGTGTGTTGGGCAATCAGCAGTGCCATACGGCACATCAGTGGTGCTGGTGTGGTGTGCCAGGAGAGACACTCCACGAGGCACTCCTGTCACACGAGCAGTTCTACATCCACTGCCACGGAGCCCTCTTTGGGCTCATGCTGCCCTTCGTCAAGAAGGTACGTTGTGGCTACTGTGCTGTGCGATCAGCAGTGCCATACAGCACATCAGTGGTGCTGGTGTGGTGTGCCAGGAGAGTCACTCACACGAGGCAGGCCTGTCAGATGACCAGTGCTACATCCACTGCGACAAGGCCCTCTTTAGCCTCATGCTGCCGTTCGTCAAGAAGGTACGCAGTGCTGAGTATGCTGTCAGTAGTGCAATGCAGCACACCAGTGTGCTGGTACCAGGAGAGTTACTGCACGAGGCAGGCCTGTCGGACGATCAGTGCTACATCCACTGTGACGGGGCTCTTTTTGGCCTCATGCTGCCCTTCGTCAAGAAGGTATGCCTTAGCAACAAATGCCTTTTCACCTTGTTTGCCTTGCACCACATGCTACTTCAACAGCACCTAACCTAACCCTCATCCCTGGTCGTCACCCCCACAGGCCCCCTGAGTGACCTTCAAGAAGCCTATCAGCAGTGGATCAGTCTCAGGTCACGAGTTTGTCGGCTGCCCCATGCCCTGTGGGGTGCAACGTGTATGCATCAGTCGCATCACTCCCCTCTATCCTTCCCACCTTCTTGCCCTGCACACCTTTCGACCCACCAGGCCCCCCTTGTGACCTTCAAGAAGCCTATAGGAAGCGTGTCAGTGTCCGGTCACAAGTTCATGGGCTGTCCCATGCCCTGTGGGGTGCAGACTATTCATTAGTCCCTTTATCCTCTCCCGCTTTTAACTCCCGTATTCACCCCCCTCTCAGGCTCCCCGTGTGACTTTCAAGAAGCCTATAGGCAGCGTGTCAGTCTCGGGTCACAAGTTCGTGGGCTGCCCCATGCCCTGTGGGGTGCAATGTGTATGCATCAACCCCATCTCTCCTATCCGCATTCTTCCCTTGCACACCTTTCACCCACCAGGCCCCCAGCGTGACGTTCAAGAAGCCAATCGGCAGCGTGTCAGTTTCCGGTCACAAGTTCGTGGGCTGCCCCATGCCCTGTGGGGTGCAGATCATGCGACGCTGCTACCTCTCCGCTCTCTCCTCTGACGTTGAATACCTCGTCCCTCGCGCCGCTACCATCATGGCCGCAATGCCTCCACCATACCTTGATCTTGTGCACATGCGCTCACCAGTCCCCTATATCCTGCCCCATATTTCACCCCCACCAGGCCCCTCGAGTGACCTTCAAGAAGCCAATCGGCAGCGTGTCAGTTTCCGGTCACAAGTTCGTCGGCTGCCCCATGCCCTGTGGGGTGCAGATCATGCGACGCTGCTACCTCTCTGCTCTCTCCTCTGACATCGAATATCTCGCCTCTCGCGATGCAACCATCATGGGCTCGCGCAACGGGCACGCACCCATCTTCCTATGGTATACCCTCAACAAAAAGGGTTACCGCGGATTCCGGAAAGACGTGCAGCGGTGCCTGCGGAACGCGCTCCACCTGCATGCGCGGCTGCGGGCGGCGGGGTTCGGCGCGATGCTGAACACTCTCAGCAGCACGGTGGTGTTTGAGAGGCCGGAGGAGGAGGCGTTTGTGAGGCGGTGGCAGCTGGCATGCCAGGGGAAGGTGGCTCATGCAGTGGTGATGCCGAGCGTGTCTCCGGAAAAGGTTGATCTGTTTGTGAGGGAGTTCGTTGCGAGTCGAGAGAGGCGCCGAGCAGCTAAGGCTGCTGCTGCTGATGATGATGATGATGCAACTGCTGCTGCTGCTGCTGCTGCAACTGCTGCTGCTGCTGCTGCAACTGCTGCTGCTGATTCTGCAACTGCTGCTGACGGTTCTGCTGCTGGAGGTTCTACTGCTGGTGCTGCTGCTGTTGCCAACGGTTCAGCTGCCACCAGCACAGATGCGTTAACAAGTGATGTGTGTGTGGCAGACGTGATTGGTCCTGAGAACTGCTCTTGTGCGGCCCACGTTGCCATCTGGCGCACTCGTATCGAGCAGGATGCTGTTGGAAGAAGACGGTACAGCTGCTACAGTGACACGTCTGGGGACGATGCTTCCTTGCACGGAAGCAGTTCTGTGCAAAGGCTGTCATAGTGAACAATAATCCACAAATTGGTGTGCTTGAGTGGGGCAGGGTGCTTTGCAGCAAGGAGGAGCGATTTGTGCGTGGCAGATGTGTTGGGTGCTGCGACCTGCTCCTGTGCCGACCACGTGGCCATCTGGCGGACACAAGTGGGGCAGGATGCAGGGAGGAGACAGTACAGCTGCTACAGTGATACGTCAGGAGACGACGCTTCCTTGCACGGCAGCAGCAGCAGGAGTGTGCAAGGTATGCTATGATGCGTACTCTGATGCTCAAAGTGTTCATGGAAGGTACAAGACTCTAGAAAGCTTTAGTGTGGTGTGATACCAACGTACCGTAGTAGTGATACCAACGTACCGTAGTACATACTACGGTACCAACCTGACTACCATTCATTGGGAGTAGGCATGGTCCCCCTAAGGAGACCTCTTATCGGGTTTGCTTGGCTGTAAGAGCAGCACTATACAGAGGGTACCGTACTACTGCAGTAAATCTTGGGATTGGTATAGATTAACTACCATACAACACTGCGACACGGGGAAAGCAAAACGTCGTCACCAGTATTGTCGGTAGTGCCTAATTGTTATACCTACATTACACAGGCGCGCATTATTGCATCAAAGGTTCCAACCAAATTAAGATTCTCTTTGCTCCTCCACAACACGTAACACACGTCCCTGCTAACTGCACAATGCAGTAACACGATCATTCGAACCTACAGTACGGTACTTATGCCGGCAAGAACACGGCATGGTACGGTACAATTCTGCAATGCTCTTTGCAGCCCTACCTATCTACTACGGTATTTACAATGCCAGAATCCCACTGTAAAATGGTCATGCTTCAACAGGTTGCTGCTTCATCCTCCCGCAAAGTGCATAGTTACTTTTCGGATGAGTCACGACTGTATACAAGCCTGATGCTTTACCGATCTGGTATCCAATGATTTCCCGAGCATCTGCCTCTGCCACCGGTCCTATAACATACGAGGACTTGAAGCTGTAGCGATTCGGCTTACCACCTCTGGCACTCGTGGTGTTCCCCCAAAAGTTGCCGTCAAATGTCTCCTTGTACTTGCCGGCAAGGCAAGATTTGAAGTAGCTCATGTGGGGCATGGCTCCTCCAGACTTGATGTTGTTGACGAGTGCGTTGATTACAACATAGCTGTCACTTTCAGAGGCCCTGTCACCGACGCAAGGGAGAAAAGGAAGGAAATTACTTTTGAGAATTCTCAAAAGACGTTCGTGAGAAGCTGGGACCCTCCAGACTTGATGTTGTTGATTCTTGCGTTGAGCATAATGTAGCTGGCGTTTGCAGAGGCCCTGTCACCGAGGAAAGGGAAAAACGGGAGAGACAGGAGCACCACGTGTGTTGATTCAAGGATCCTCACATTATATTTGTGCGAGGACAGGAGAACAAGACACGTTTACATTCTTAGACGCGTTTAAAGCACAGATTGCAACCTGTTCTTCTGCGTTGAGCTTAATTGGTTAAGGCTTAACCAGTGTCACCATTTGCAGGGCTGCACTAAAGCCAATTATGGTTTGCAAAATGCGGACTCACTTCACTCCCAGTATAATTGATAATCCAGTTGCTCCTAGGTCGCCAACTACCGTTCCATTTTCACGAGTGGGAGTGAGCTTGGCCACATATCGCACTGGAAAGAGGGAAGGCAGGGCAGGGCAGGGCAGGGCAGGGCAGGGCAGGGCAGGGCAGGGCAGGGCAGGGAAGGGTAGGCACAAAGTTAGATACCCAAGATGTTTCCGTTTTTGGTAGTATTTGGGTGATTGGTGCAAGGGAGCTAGGTGTGTTGACTCGCGACGTGCGTGAACGGGGCTTTCTGTTGCTTCAAGAACGTAGGACCCTACCCTACGCAACTGGTGGATCGAGTGGTAACGGAAGGGTGACAGCCCAACAACCTCGCCGCTGAAAGCTGACAGAACTGAAGGATTTCATATGAATCACTCAACGAAACTTTCGAATTATCATGGCACTTGACGCGTTCTCAAGAATTATTCCGAAAAAAACAACACGCTCGGGTGGGAGCACGTACGGAACACCTTCCCTTTCACCAAAGGAGCGGCCTGAGCAGAGGACGCGACAGGCAGCTGTCCGCCGCGGAGGAATGCTGCGAGGCTCTGAAGGTGACGTTGGGGGGGGTTGGTTGGGAACCAGGCTCAATGGGAGCACTTACAGAAAATCTTCCCTTTCACCAAAGGAGCGGCCTGAGCAGAGGACGCGACAGGCAGCTGTCCGGCGGGGAGGAATGCTGCGAGGGGCTCTGAAGGTGACGTTGAGGGGGAATCATCGGTTGGGAGCGACGACGTTGCAGGCCGCGCTGCACCAGCCGTGAATAGTGTTACAACTGCACAAGGGACAATAACACCCAAGACGAGCTTTAATCAGAAGGTGTTTGACTCAAACATCACTCGTTTCGGAACGGCAGATTCTGACTCAGTGGATGCAGTTGCGGAAGGCGTCTATGGGCGCTCACATATCAGTACCCAGCAAAGCACAATTCGCTCCATAATAAAGAAAGTCAAGGAGACGAGCCGTTGATAGTTCTAGTGGCCGTGAAATATGTAGGTTTCAGAAGCGAGTTAGGCGGGACTAGATAACGTGACGTTGTTCAACGACAGCGAAAATTGTTGCTAGTAGTTATGCGGCGGGGTGCGGCTCGTTAGGGCAGTTGAAAGTCATCGTCCCGACTCCCGAGTCCCAACAAAGAAATATTTCAAGAAATATCTCACATGTCCATGACGGTGCCAGCGGCACGACATGTCATCCATGCACCAGCACATACAATTCGCGCTACGGCCAACTGGGCGGCGCGGGGGAGGAATGGTCACATCTGGAGAGGCACCTGACGAGCCCGAATCTGACGCTAGGGATGGTCACATTTGGAGAGGCACCTGACATTCCCGGAACTGACGCTAAGCTCACATAAACACATCTGGGGCTTCTCCGAAACGCATTTCCCGCAAACATAAGGGGTGTCCAGCGCGTACATTTACCGTTCATAAATCCTGTCAGTTACCACATTTGGAGTTGTAACACTGCATTTTACTGAAAGGGTGGACATGACCAACAATTGTACATGAGACGGCACGCCAGCTGCACGTACCTCGAGTCGTGTGACTCACGTTACTGCATACAGCGTGCGCGCGAACTCGGGTACAGTATCGCGTCCAACAAGCTACAGTAGTGCCCCCCTGTATTGCTCGCACAACTTCGCCAGTGCCGCGCGACTCTCGCCGAAACCACCTGCGCGCTGGAAACACACATTGCGCATGTGCGAAAATGCCAATCCTACTCTTCACGAGGGAACCAGTTACCTCGGTTTCCAGGTTGTTTTGGCACTGTTGATGTTTGTATGTGTCCGCGCGCTGGAAATTCCAGAAACTGTGGACTCGGTTCAGTTGGCATTCGTTTTGAGGTACAGTGGTCAGTCTTGAACCCTGAGACGTGTGTGGGCTTTAAGAATCCCGAAATGAACGCGCTGGACACGCCCTAAAGAGGGAAAACGAAGGGTGAACGTGTGCTGAGTAGGTTTTGTGGGTTCTCCTGACCTGACCAGACAACTGACGAAGCGAAGGTGAGCTGGCGTGGATTTGTTGGTGACGCCTTCGCGAAGTTAAAACCAGGGTGCACATTCAATTGGATTTCTGTCAAAGGTTAAAACCAGGGTGCACATTCAACGCGGTTCGGCTTGAGATGTTGGGAAGGGGGTTTGGAGAAAAACAGTGATTGGCTCACGAGGGGCGACAAAAAAATGATTCCGCTAGAGCTTCGGGCATTTCGTAGGTGGCGGGAGGGGGTGAAATGGCGGGAGTGGGTGAAACCGAATGGCGGGAGGGATGAAACAGATTGGCGGGAGGGGGGGGGAAACGAAATTGCAGGGGAGGGGGGAAACGAAATTGCGGGGGCGTGGGGAAACGAAATTGCGGGGGAGGGGGGAAACGAATTTCGACTTGAAGGGGTTGAAAGCACACCTCGTAACCCACTCAGTCAAGGGATAACCTTTGATGCACATTCAGCTGAATGTGCACCCCGGTTTTAACCTTTGACCTCGGGGTTACTCAGTGATTTAGGAATATCTAGGGGGAGTGTTCGCTTCAGCAGGTGAACATTTGAACCCTCGAGATTTGGCAAATGTAAACCGAAGTCATCGAATGTGCTTCCGCCAATTCGTTTCCCCCCTCCCCATACCTATTCCGCTCCCACCGAAATTGTTTCCCCTTCCCCCACAATATCGTCTCACCCCCTTTCCCCTTTCCGCCAACCCAGTTGCCCTCCCCTTGATCCCCAATTTCTAGATCCAAGTGTTATCAATTTCTCCCCTGCCAAGCCTCATCTCTCACGGACGAAAAGCCCCATGCTCGCCCATTCTCAACTATTTATTCGCTACTCGTCAACCAATCAGCAGTTCCCGCAAACATGCCGCCCAAAATTTAGCCTGGAGTCGCGTTGAATGTGTACCCTGGTTTTAAAGCAGCGGTATACATTTGGCACCACTGTTTGTTTTGTTCAGTATGCACCTTCATTTCGCCGAGACGGAACCAAACCGAAACCCACGGATCCACCATGACTGTCATGGCGATGGAAACCTCGATCTCGCCGCCATGGCTGCCTGACGCCAGCCTGGAACTCACATTGCGTGAAGCCTATTTGTCAGTTGGCTTTAATCTTATCAGCAACGTAATCTCTACAGCAAGACGAAGAGGATCATATACGTTATGTGTTCATCAGGCGAACATTTTATTTTCCTCTCACTGGTGCGTTACGCTGATCAACCAGACAAGGCCCAAGGTTAACGCGTGGTTCCCAGGGGAATGCGTCATCACAAGGCTACCAGCTAAGCTATCACTAATTGGCTCTCTGGATTCTACATTGATATATCAAGATGACCTTGAAGTTACCACAGCGGCCCAGCAACACCTATGTCAGGAGCACTGGGCTAAGGCTTTGGCAAGATTAGTATTTAACAGTGATGTGCTCAGACTACCGGCTCATTGTTCTCAACAACTCCGTCTGTCAGAGTTTCGGCCGGCTTCTTGTCATCATTGCACGATGCCTCCTAAGAACTCCCGCAAGGCAGTGGCTGATGCTGCCTTGGTCAACCGTGCTGGTGGTTCTGATCCTGCGAGCATGTCAACGCCAAGCAAGCGGTCAGATGTGGACATTAATCTACCGTCCGAAGCAGAAGTTACCGCTGGGAGCTCAGGCCTTTCTGTCGAGGAGAAGCTGAAAGCGTTGGCCACGGTGGCTGCTGACGACTCATTATCGAAGATGACTCTGATGAGGAGCTGGAGATTGATGCGAGCAAAGGAATCTCCCCTCACCTGCGTTCGACGGTGATTCTGCTTTTTCCAGTGATCCCGTCACATAAAGTCGCTTCTGTTATTCTAACTGTGCGGACGCTTATGAAGCGTGTTTGGGCAAACCTGCTCTCTGATGACGTCTTGGCCTCGGTGAAGTTTCAGGAGCTGCTTCCCGCGTTTGTTGCCAAGACCCGCTATAGTCGTCTCCAAGTGTCATTCCTGCGAGAGTCCGACGTTGTGAACATTAAGCAGACATCGGTGGATCATAAGCGTCCCAACGGAATTACGATTCATTGTTTCTGACTGCACCAGGAGGATCCAGCTTACCTGCGTATGAAGGCGACAAGTCCGCAGATGCTGGAGGTGTATTTCAAAGGTGTCCCCGCTGACATTCCCCCGGAGCTGGTTTTGGAGGTGATGGTGAAGCATCCGCTCAAGATCCGGAAGCAGTCGGCCTTCAGCGAAGGTCACTGCTTTCACCGCGTCCTTCATCCGGTGACCGGCGCTGACACGGACAAGATCAAGGGGCTGGTTGTTCAGCACGCTGGCGACAAGCACCGCTGGCGTCACGAATATCGTCATCAGCTGCTGGGTGGCACGACTCTGCTGGCCCACTCCCCCCTGCTATCCTGCTCGCTCTGTGGTGGGCACCATTATGACAAGTTTCATAATGCGTTCGTCACGGAACGTCAGAATAACATAGGGAAGTGGAGTTTGACAGTGGGTCGGGTGCATAGGATTAACGGTAACTGTGCTTTCTGGATTTGCAGTCGTTTATTGTACTCACCGTCGTCGGTCGCTAACGTCGCGTCTGTCCCTCGCAGCTGCTTCTCTCTGCGCTTCTCCGCTTGTTACCCCGCTTCTGCTGGATGCGGCTTTTGTTCTCATCTCCACTGGAAGCAACCGGGAGGAGTGGCTGTGCACCCAGGAAAGCTGTGGGAAAGCTCATGGCAAGACCTTCATGGCTGCTGCGGACCATGTTACATCGGCAAGTCACCTGTTGGGTCTGAATAAGCTGGGGGTGGCCACGCGTGTTTCGCTGGAGAAGCTGAGCCTGCACGTCATCCGCAAAGATCATGGAATCTGAGATCAGGGTCCACTCACCTGAAGAGGAGCTGTGTGGTTGTCGCTGTTGCTTGTTCTTGTGTAGTAGTATCCTGTATCACCGGCCTGTGGATGCAAGGGGGCCTTCAAGCAGTGGTTAAATGAGTACAAAGAGCTTAATGTCATTTGCAGGCCTGAATGTCAACGGCCTGGGGGATGGTAACAAGCAACAGCGTACAAAGAACTGGTTGAAGCAGGCAGCAGATATCGTCGTATTGTTGGACTCTAGGCTCACTGATTATCACCCTTACTGGAACTCGCTTAGGCAGCCGCAGATCCTGGTAGCCTCTCCTACCGCTAAAGCCGGCGGGGTTGCTTTAATCTGTCGGAGGCACGGACTGTCACTGCATAACACCCTCATCCACCCATCTGGTCGGCTGGTAGCAGCTGAAGTTCGACTTGGCATTTTTCACATCACCTTGGTCGCGGTTTATTTCCCGGCTGATGTTGCTGAACGTAAGGCGTTCATCCGCAGAGTGCTGGGTCCGGTGGTTGACACGGTGTCGCCGGGTTCTCATCTGCTCATTATGGGGGACTTCAATCTTGTAGAAGATCCACTGTTAGATAGGACATCACGGAAGGGGTCCACGAAAGAGAATGAGGAGCTGTACCGTCGTTGTGGCGCCTTTCACCTCTCGGATGCTTTTAGAGTTCTACATCCATACAGGCGGGAATTCACTTTCTACTCCTGCGCCAACCAGTCCAGTTCGCGTATAGACAGAGCACTTATCTCGCAATCTTTGCTGGCGCATGTTGAGTTCGTCTCACACATTATGCCGGCTGACCCCGTCTCTGACCACAGCTTTGCAGTGAAGGCGGCTTTCAGGTTGAACACGCGGGTGCAGTTGGGCCCGGGGCTTTGGAGGCTTCCTGCATACATGTTGGACAGACCGGGGGTCAGAAAGGTGATTGAAGTCGTGGAGCGGCAAGCGGACTTGTGTGGGGACGGTTTTGAGCTTCTAATCTCCCGCCTCAATACTGCTCTACGAGCTTACGCGAAAGAGGAGCGGAAGAGGGTCCGGGCTACGATGGTTCACCTTCAGCGGTCGGTTGCGGTGCTAAAACAGGCGTGGCTGGGTGACCCGGGGTGTGCTCGGCTGAAAACCTTGCTGGGCGAAAGAGAGGCGCAGTTGAAGAGCTACCAGCTGGTTCGGCAGGAGCGGCTTCATGTAATGGCTGGGTTGAAGGAAGAAGTCATGGGTGAAGTGGCCTCCCCGCACCTGTCGGCAAAGATCAAAGCCAGAAAGGGGCGGACGCAGATTACGGAGTTAAACGCAGGCGGGAAGCTGGTGAATGACAATGAAGCTATCATGAAGGCAGCGCCACAGTATCATAAGGAGCTGTTCGAAAGCGACAGACAGCAGGCCGTGTCTGCTTGGTCTCCTGCTCCCGGGAGGTCTCTGTCGCAGAAGTCGGCGGAAGCGGTGTGTGCGGCCTGGTCGGAGGAAGAAGTGAAAGCTGCTTTCCGTTCGATGGCGAAGGATAAGGCTCCCGGGAAGGATGGGTTGCCGAAGGAGCTGTTCGAGTTCCACTCGGATATCTTGGGCAAACATTTCATGAAGCTGGTCGACAGTTTCGCAGCTACGGCGACGCTGCCGACGAGTACGAAGGACGCTGTTACCATCCTGCTACACAAAAAGGGGGGGAGGGAGCAGCTTGAGAACTACAGACCGATCACCCTTCTGAGCTTCACCTACAAAGTGATCGCGAGGGTGGTGGCAGACAGGATGAAAAGAGTGTTGCATGAAGTCATCTCTCCGGAGCAGTACGGTTTCTTGCCTGGTAGAAGGCTGTCGGACGCGGTGGGCTTGGTTGCGGATGTTATCGAGGCCGCGAAGAGCAAGGATCATGACTGGTATCTTCTGCTGGTCGACTTTAGAAAAGCTTTCGACTCGGTCTCGAGGAACTTCCTGTTCACGGTGCTCGAGCGGATGGGTTTTCCGAGCCGTCTCGTGGACTGGGTTAGGGCCTGCACAAGGATACACGGACCAGTCTGTTAATCAACGGCTGGATGGGGGAAGCGGTTGACGTGGTGTCTGGGGTGCGGCAGGGTTGTCCGCTTGCGCCTTACCTCTTCCTGTGTGCGGTGGAACCGTTGGCCCAGCAGGCGGCTGCTAGAAAACTTGGTCTTGAAAAGGGGGAGCAGCGGCTGGCGTATCTGGGGTATGCTGACGACACGACTTTAGTCCTGCAAGGAGAAGTACAGATTGCGGAAGCAGAGCGGCTGTTAGCAGACTTCGAGGCAGAGTCGGGGCTGGCAACGAACATAGAGAAGTCATCCATCTTACCCCTGGGGTGTAACCTGAACAAACAGGCCTGCAGGACGGACGGTTTCAAGTGGGTAAAGGCGGATGAAGCAGAGAGGCTCCTGGGCGTGTGGGTGACGCCGGCTGGCAGCTGCGCCCCCACCTAGGAAAAAGCTTTCGCGCGGATCAAGGATAAGCTGAGACAATGGGAGACGCAGCATCTCACCACAGGCGCCAGGGTAGCGGTAATCAACTGCTACATCTCACCCATAATTTTCTTCCAGGCGCAGGTGTACCCGCCGCCGGTGGATATTTGGGGGAGGATTTTGAAGCCGTCGCACAACTTTGTATCAGGCAATCACGCGGTCACTGATAAGAAATTCATACTGTGGAGCCGGGATCTACTATATACGGCCAGGGCCGATGGCGGTGTGGGGGTGAGGGACCCGGAAATAGAGCTCACCTGTCTTGCAGCCAGGCGCATCGGACTGTTGCTCACTGAGACGAGTGAACTGAAGCGGGACATTATGCTCGCAGCGGCGGACCTGCCGCTGGGGACGGACACCTTTGTCGCTCACGTGAAGCTTCTGAAGTGCTGGCGTGGGAAAAGTGAGAGATGGAAGCTGGCCTGCGGGAGCTTTATGCAGTCGCCGCTGATAGACTTACTACCGGCCCTAACGAAGGAAGAAATTGTAGCGGAGCGGATTGTTTTTAACCGCAACATCCTGCTCAACAGCAGGACTCCAGTGGGGGGTCAGAAGGCTGCGGCGAAGCTGTGGGAGCTCCGGCTGGGTGATCTTTTGCTACCGGATGGCGTGGGGGGACGGAAGGTCAAAGATGTGAAAACCCTGACAAGGGAGCTGGGAGGTTCTAAGCAAGCGAAGCTGGCACTACGGGCTTGGGAAGCGGTACCACAGACCTGGAAGGAGAGTCTACTGTCTGCCGAGCAACTGGTACCTCCGCCTCTGTTTCCCCGCCTTCAGAAATCGGCACTGTTCAAGGATGGGCAGGTGGCGTCGTTGAAAGAGCTGAAGGGATGTTGGAAGGGGCAGAAGCGTCAATCCGCTAAGAGGGAGCTTTGGGCAGGAAGATGGTCAGGGGAAATTGACTGGAAGAAAGTTATCAAAGTTCGGGACTCGCTGGTGACACCGAACAAGCCGCGTGACGTGTTGCTTAGTATTCACAGCCTCAACCTGCAATTAGGGGAGAGGCTCTCCTTTCTAAGTGGCAGGCCGGTCTGCCCGCACTGTGGAGAGTTATCTTTTCAGCTGCCCGCGCATCCAGCAGGTGGTGGTGGCAGTCAAGCGGTCCATGCGCATGCTGAACCCTGCGAGGCAAGTGTCGGCCCTGGGGGACCTGCTGTTCGGAAAGGCAGCATCGGCCTCAGCGTTTCCTGAAGCGACCCTCTCTGCAATTGCCGTTCACCGGATCTGGGCGGAGCGATGTGATTGTGTGTTTCGGGGGAAAAGATTCCGGGCCCGGCGGGTACTCAGGCGCATCGAGGCAGCTTTTCGGCTGCATGTGAAGGTGTACACGCGAGCAATGGGAAAGAAGACTGGCAGCGGCGGTGGTTCGAAGGGACAAAGGAGAACTCATGCGCTGGCGGAGCAGGAGGACGGTTTACTTGGCCGCATTCGCTGCATGACGGTGAAAGGTTGGAAGTGGACACACAGTTTCGGCGCGCTTTGGAGCCTGGCAAGGGGAGCTCTGCATCCGCCTTAGAAGCCTCACGTGAGGCCACCATGTGGGTTCGGCCTCTCACGCTCAGTTACGACTGACATATATCGCTTATACGCTTGCTCTTTCGGTGTATTTGGATATATTCATAATGAAAAAAGAAAAAGAAAAAAAAATCGCCGAGACGAAAAAAACCTAGGGTAGCGAAAGTGTTGGCGAACACGTAGGCACTTCTGTTGACGAGTGAGCTGGCGGACGAACATCAGCGAGGATTTCGAAAAAATGAATTTTTTTGAAAGTGTGTAACACTTTCTAAAAATGTGTATTTTGAAAGCGAAGCTGCTTGTAATGCAGCAATGGCAACGGCGAAGTGCTAGACGCTCTTCGCCAACTATACAGCAGGGGGTGGAGGCCATTTGGCCTCCACCCACGTCTTCGTTTGAATTTTCAAATGTCTTATTTCATTCTCGTCCGACGACTTCCCGTTCTCCTCAGTCGCTCATTTCTCTCTTAAATTAGTAGGCACAGCGCCACTGGCGCACGTGGCGACGAAATCGCCACAGGCGCGCGTGGCGACGAAATCGCCACAGGCGCGCGTGGCGACGAAATCGCCACAGGCACGCGTGGCGACGAAACCGCCACAGGCGTGCGTGGCGACGAAATCGCCACAGGCGCGCGTGGTGAAATCGCCAGTGGCGCACGTGGAGTCAAAATCGCCAGCGGCGCAAGTGGCGCCAGTGGCGCTCATGGCGCCGAAATGGTCAACATCGCCACTGCCGCATGTGGCTACGAAATCGCCAGTGGCGTGCAAGAACCCAGGGGCGCGTCCAGCGGAAGTCGGTACCAGCAGGCATGATGGCGAAATCTCCAGAAGGCGAGATTCCAGTGGCGCGCCAGAGACAAACTGGCGGCAGATGCGCTTCTGATGTTGAAATTTGCCAACGAATAAATTATTACTTTGCATATGTTCCCACCTCTTCTTCATTCCTATCTTCGATTCTTGTTCGTCTGCGTTTTTCTCTCATGCTATTTCTTATTTTTTTTCGCAGTAAATCGGTGCGAGGCAACTACCTTTGGGTCGCCATGAGAGACTACCGGCGAAGAAAGACTGCGGCAAAACATTTGGCACAACCCATGCGCTCCCGTGGGAGATTGGGACCGGGGGCCTCGCGCCAGCCGGAAACGGACCTGTGGGTCCTGTGCGGTGCTGGCCAGCGAGCTCCCCAGGGGGGAGGAGGACCGGTGGGTCCTGTGCGGTGCTGGCCAGCGAGCTCCCCAGGGGGACCGGTGGGTCCTGTGCGGTGCTGGCCAGCGAGCTCCCCAGGGGGGAGGAGGACCGGTGGGTCCTGTGCGGTGCTGGCCAGCGAGCTCACCAGGGGGGAGGAGGCCCGGTGGGTCCTGTGCGGTGCTGGCCAGCGAGCTCCCCAGGGGGGAGGAGGACCGGTGGGTCCTGTGCGGTGCTGGCCAGCGAGCTCACCAGGGGGGAGGAGGCCCGGTGGGTCCTGTGCGGTGCTGGCCAGCGAGCTCCCCAGGGGGGAGGAGGACCGGTGGGTCCTGTGCGGTGCTGGCCAGCGAGCTCCCCAGGGGGGAGGAGGACCGGTGGGTCCTGTGCGGTGCTGGCCAGCGAGCTCACCAGGGGGGAGGAGGCCCGGTGGGTCCTGTGCGGTGCTGGCCAGCGAGCTCCCCAGGGGGGAGGAGGACCGGTGGGTCCTGTGCGGTGCTGGCCAGCGAGCTCCCCAGGGGGGAGGAGGACCGGTGGGTCCTGTGCGGTGCTGGCCAGCGAGCTCCCCAGGGGGGAGGAGGGCCGGTGGGTCCTGTGCAGTGCTGGCCAGCGAGCTCCCCAGGGGGGAGGAGGACCGGTGGGTCCTGTGCGGTGCTGGCCAGCGAGCTCCCCAGGGGGGAGGAGGACCGGTGGGTCCCTTTCTGGCTCGTGAGTTTAGTTATATATTGGTCAAATACCAGGGCTAAAGCCCAAAGTGCAAGGTTTGGAAGCGATCACATTTGAGTTGGCTGGTTGAACAAAATTTTGGTGAGTTTGAAATGGTGCACAACTATAGCAGATGAGTAAGAATACCAAGGGCTTAAACCTTGACAGATTTACCGTACCCAGATACAAGTTGCATGCACGCTTCGTAATGTGAGCACGGTTGTGACCGCAACAAGGGTTGGGCTCCTACAAGCATCACATCCATCATTACACAGAATACTAACGCCCGCTGCCCGTGTCCTCCCATACTGCTTGCGAGTTCGTGTCCGAAGCTCACGTGTGAGCCAACGCTTATAAGTAACCACTACTATGCTACACTCACTTAGGGCGACACTCCAATGCAACAGCAGAGAATACTGCACCTCGATCAACATCGGTGCCAGCCTTCTTCTTCGCGCATGATTGGAACTCCACCGAAATGTCGTCGCATAAACCATCAACAACCTTTACCGTCTCCGCAGCATCTCCCCGTCTCATGTCTCAGAAGACCCATTTGAAACGAAGCTCGTTGCCATTGCAAACACAAGAAAGCAAGCTTTCTAAATATGAAATTTTTTGAAAGTGTGTAACACTTTCTAAAAATGTGTATTTTGAAAGCGAAGCTGCTTGTAATGCAGCAATGGCAACGGCGAAGTGCTAGACGCTCTTCGCCAACTATACAGCAGGGGGTGGAGGCCATTTGGCCTCCACCCACGTCTTCGTTTGAAATTTCAAATGTCTTATTTCCCACCCACCCACCCTAGCAAAAATTGCATGTTGTCATGTGTAATGTAGGTACCATATATATCCCGGACGAGAATGATGTAATGCCCATTTGAAACGAAGCTCGTTGCCATTGCAAACACAAGAAAGCAAGCTTTCTAAATGTATAGCTGACCGCTTTCACAAGGTCACTCCAATGACAGCAAAGCTGAATGTTACACGAAATCATTGTTCCTGAACAATGCTGCTACGTTCTCATTTTATGCTGGCTATATGCTACAATGTGGGTAAGTTAGGATACACTGGTAACGAACTGCCATTTACCAGGCACATTTATTCTCCCCCGGTCTTCTTTTAGTTTTGTCACAAGTTCAATCCAGGAACGTCAGGAACCCTTCATGGGAGTAGTGCTGAGAGCGCCAAACACCACTGTCAATACCCCTGCTATGTTCTCTTCTACGATAAAGGCGGAGCGATACGGTAGGTGTCAGCGGCACATCTCACCTCTCCCCCATCCGCCCAGCTCTTCATCTGAGCCACTCTGAAGCTCAGAGGAGCTTTTGAGTCGACTCAAGTGCGATAAAGGCAGGGCAACAGGTATCAGCGGCATATCTCACCTCTCCCCCATCCGCCCAGCTATTCATCTGAGCCTCTCTGAAGCTCGGAGGAGCCGTGTCACGGCTTGTCCCTCACAGGGTCCGCCTCTGCTATAATAACCATTATTACAATCACCACCATCATCACAATCACCATCAGCAGCATCATAGCTTTGCAAGTGGCTGGACCTCAACATCCACGCTACCCTCCCATGCCTCTCCACTGCTCTCCCCCTCCCCAGCTTCCAACTCCCCTTCCTCTCTCCTATCCTCCTCCCCACCATCCTCCAGCCCACCTTCCTCTCCTTCCCCATACGCCAAGCCCCTCATCTGAGCTTCTCTGAAACTCGGAGGTGCTTCCACGAGCCGCAGCTTGTCCCTTGCAGGATCCGCCTCTGCTATAATCACATCCACTGAGTCTCCCACACGCACGTCCCGCTGCATCTTCATTACTGTCTCCATCCCAACCTGTGGGAAGAAAAGGCAGGAGAATAAACATAGAGAAGAAAAAAGAGTCAGCCTCTGCTATAATCACATCCACCGAGTCACCCACCCGCACATCCCGCTGCATCTTCGTCAGTGTCTCCATCCCCACATGTTAAGAGAAAAGAGGTCAGGAATGGGACAGCAAGGGTGCAGATAAGAGAGGGCAGAAGCAGGGGTCAGCACTGAGTCACCTAGGAATACGAGGGGGTGGATCAGGGTCCGCCTCTTCCGTCAAGGTGACTTTTGAGTCGACTCAAAAGTCACCTGGGTGCAGATAAGAGAGGGCAGAAGCAGGGGTCAGCACAGAGTCACTTGGGAACACGAGGGGGTGGATCAGGGTCCGCCTCTTCTGTCATCACCTGATTCACATCCTGATTCACGCACGCACGCACGCACGCACGCACGCATGCACGCACGCACGCACGCACACGCACGCACACACACGCACGCACACACGCACATCCTCTCACCTCCTCCACCAGTATCAGCGCCAGCAGGCTGCCATGTGGCCCGAGCCATCTCTCACTACCTTTTGACCTCTCTCACTCCTCCACCCATCCACCCGTACCCCTCCCAACCCCTCCCAACCCCCCCAATCTCACCTCCTCTACCAGCATCAGCGCCAGAGGGCTACCGTCAGCCCGGAGCCACTTGAGCATGACAGCTGTCAGCACGGTATTGGCCGGCAGCCGCCGCAGGTACTCCTGCAGCCAGTAGCGCTCCACCGCCCCTTCCGCCCGCCGCACCTCGCGCTGCCGGGCGCCGCAGTGCGATACGATTGTGTCGAGATCTGATACTGACAGCGGGGGAGGCTCACCCCTTAGAAGGGCCTTCACCTGGGGGGAATCGGGCAGGGGGGAAGTGGGGGGGAAGAGGACCGGAGACATGAAGAGTAGCAAGAGGCACAGTGCGATACGATCGTGTCGAGGTCTGATACTGACAGCGGGGGAGGCTCACCCCTTAGAAGGGCCTTCACCTGGTAGAAATCGCAGGGGGGTTTGGGGTGTGGGGGAGGGGAACCGGGAGGTGGGGGGATTGAGGGAGTTCTGACATACGATTGTGTTGGGATCTGATACGAATAGTGGGAGCGTCTTACCCCGCTAAAGGATCCGCTAAATATCTGGAAGGACACTCACCTGAAGGAAATCAGGGAGATATTTTGGAGGAACTCGTCAGAAACAGGATCGTCTTGTCGTAAAGGATCTTGAGTGCAGAGACAGGTCTCCGTCACTCATGGTTTTGGAAGAGCAGCAGCGGCGCTAGAGAAAGTGTTTAGCAAGTAAGAAAGAGAATATAAACCCCTGGCTAAGAGAATATAAACCCCTGGCTAAGAGAATATAAACCCCTGGCTAAGAGAATATAAACCCCTGGCTAAGAGAATATAAACCCCTGGCTAAGAGAATATAAACCCCTGGCTAAGAGAATATAAACCCCTGGCTAAGAGAATATAAACCCCTGGCTAAGAGAATATAAACCCCTGGCTAAGAGAATATAAACCCCTGGCTAAGAGAATATAAACCCCTGGCTAAGAGAATATAAACCCCTGGCTAAGAGAATTCTGAAAGCAAAAAGACAGGCCGACGTGTCATGAAGGATCTTGAGTGCAGAGACAGGCGTATGAAGAAGTGTTTTGAGACACGTCTCAAAACACTTCTTCATATCAGGGAGATATTCTGGAGGAACTGTAAAGGATCTTGAGTGCAGAGACAGGTCTCATCAGATTGGCGACAAGAACTGCACATACCCCTGCAGTCCCAGCTCAGCATGCCTGGTGGCGCATGTCCTCACAAGGAGCAGCGCATGCATGCTCCATTAGTCCACAATGCCTCTTACCTGATAGTGCGCCAGCAGGTCAGAGTATCTTCTGATGGGCGACGAGAACTGCACGTACCCCTGCAGGCCCAGCCCAGCATGCGGAATCGGCCCGGAGCATTTTATCTCACTCCGGCTCATAAACGATCGCAAATGCACGGCCCTGCATGGCCCCTCAGGGAGCGCTTGCATATCCTCCTCATCCTCATCTGTCATTCGGTCCGGAGGGCCCTGGCCTCGGTACGGCAGCGGCAGGTCACGTTCGGCGCCGAACCTAGCCACAGCCTCGCCGCAGAGAACCATAGCTTCGGACACGAGCCTCCGGGACGGGTCGGACTGGTCGATCGTGCTGACCGAGATTTCCGGGCAGTGTGACGTGGCGGAAAAAACTTTGATGTCGGATTCGGGGATTGAGATGTTTGCCGCCCCGTTTTGCATGCGGTAACGTAACCGGCCGGCAGCAACGTCTGATAGGAGGAGAAGCTCCGGTTCGTGTTCGCCCGCCATTGCAAGCATTTCGGGCAGCTGGTCGTAGGCTAGTCGGTAGGTCGGGCAGATGAAAGAGTTCATGATGTCCACGTCATCTATGCTGCACGATATTGGGGCAGAGAGAGAAAAAAGAGTGGTCGAGGGAAGATGGGAAAGAAGAAAGGTTAACGACTGGAAAAAAATTGTATACGAAATGCATGCAAGCAGTTTCATGAATGCTTATGGACGATATATCTAACCTCAACCAACAAACACATACCTGAAATCAGAATTAAGTGTGACTACTACAGTAACCGCGCAAACGACTGCAGCAGAATTCCCAGTAGCAGCACCACCAGCAGCACCAGCAGCATCGGCAGCAGCAGGAGGAGCAGGAGGAAGCGAGAGGCTCATGGGACCCGCAGCAAGGGAGAACGGAAGCATAGGCACGGCTCCCGTAGCAAAATACGCGGACGTGGCTCGCTTCCGAGCCTCCGTGTCGAGCCTGTTGCCGAGCCTCATCCAGCGGCTCGGATCAGCCACGTGTATCCAGACCTTGATCCGGCCGTCCGGTAGGGTTTCTGCACTCAACCCATCGTCCACTTCTACTGTATCGTATGAATCGATGGTGTAGACTTTGAGATGTGTCAGATCGACTCGTATGTTCTGAAAGGATAAAGGAGGGAAGGAGTTCGGGAGGGGGCAAGGGAAGGGAGCAAGATCAGATTGGTGCACAACCGTCAACCGATCGTCTACTTCCACTGTATCGTATGAATCAATGGTGTACACTTTGAGATGAGTTAGGTCGACACGTATGTTCTGAAGAGAGAAGCGGGAGAGGGGAGGGGAGGGGAGGGGAGGGGAAACATTGAAGGCAACTCAATTCAACCCATCTTCCACTTCTACTGTGTCGTATGAATCAATGGTGTACACTTTGCGATGCATTAAATCAACATGTATGCTCTGCAGGGGGAATGGGACGAGAAGGGGAAGGGGGGGAGGTAGGGAATGGAATGAGATTGGTGCTAGGAGCATCAACCATCGTCCACTTCTACTGTATCGTATGAGTCGATTGTGTATACGTAGAGATGCGTCAGATCAACTCGTATGCCCTGCAGTGCGGAATACGGGAGAATGGGTCAAGTCGGGGGAGAGGGCAGGAATGGAATGAGATTGGTGCAGGGAGCATCAACCCGTCGTTCACTTCTACTGTATCGTATGAGTCGATGGTATACAAGGAAAAGCCACAGACGATTTTTGAGGCGCCTCAAAAAGGAAAAGCCACAGGAATAGAAGAATATATCCACCTGATCAGGGTCTGGCGGAGGGTTTGAGGTGGCTTCTGAGTTGACTGAAAAGTCACCGCTTTACAAAAGCAGCGGGGGCAGAAGAATATATTGATCTACCTGATCAGGGTCTGGCGGGGGGTTTGCTGCGAGACCAGCAGAGTAATCGGCGACAGTTGTTGGGAAGGTTGCAGGCATGGCAGAGGCAGCGAGGCGGAAGGAGTGGGAGTGGAGGGGAAGGGCGCCCGCACGCACAAGAAGGTCGCAGGCTGCTTCTGGCGTTCTCACACAGCCCAGGAGTTGCAGAGACTGCAAGGTTCAGAGGCAGAGAGGTTGGGGGCAATGGAGGAGGAGACAGAGGCAGAGAGGAGAGAGCGGAAAACAGACACACGATGAGGAAGGCCGGGAACGCAAGCTGCTTCTGGCGTCCGTGTGCAACCGAGGAGTTGAAGGGACTGCAAACCTCACATAACGAGGAAATGGGTGGGGGTGAAAGGACCAGCAAGACAGAAGGCATGGGCATGGGCATGGGCATGGGCTGGGCATGGGCATGGGCTGGGCATGGGAAGTGGGCATGGGCATGGGCATGGGCATGGGCTGGGCATGGGCATGGGCTGGGCATGGGAAGTGGGCATGGGCATGGGCATGGGCATGGGCATGGGCATGGGCACACACGCACAACCATAATCTCGCACCCACCTCCTCAGCCAATGCCGAGTTGCCACCTGGCTTCCCCTCTGCATACTCCAACAGTGCCTGCATCCTCGCAGCCAATCCCAGGCCGCCACGTCCTCCCCCAACCCCATGCCCCTGCCGCTCCCCTTCCCCTTCCCCTCCTCCTTCACCCCCCTCCCTTGCCCTTCCTTGCTCCTCTGCCCTCTCTGCCCTCTCCGTCCCCTCTATCCTTTCTCTCCAAATTTCCGGTGTTGGTTTTTGGGCAGGAGGCATCCTTAATGCTTCTCGAACGCAGGTAACAAACTCCTCCTGCTCCGCTCGCACTGCTGCCTCCGCTGCTGCTTGCTTCCTCAGCTGCTCCACCTGTTGGGATAGGGTTGAGTTAGGGGTGAGGAATAAGGAGCAAATTCGCCTGTGAGAACAAGGGCTTTTGCCCTGAGGAGGGCAATCTCAACTCAGTGCTTCTCGAACGCAGGTCACAAACTCCTCTTGCTCCGCTCGCACTGCTGCCTCCGCTGCTGCCTGCTTCCTTAGCTGCTCCACCTGATGGGATAGGGGAGAGGAGTAAGGAACGGATCCGCATGTAAGAACAAGGGCTTTTGTCGTGAAGCCAGTCTCTCAACGTAGTGCCTCTCCTCTCCAACGCTGGGTACGAACTCCTCCTGCTCCGCTCTCACTGCTGCCGCTGCTGCTTGCTTCCTCAGCTGCTCCACCTGATGGAGTTGGGGTTGAAAAGAGCAGTGATAAACAAACCCGCTGGATCTCGCTCATTTCACTGCCCCCTCCTGCTCCCTCTGCCCTCTCTGCTCTCGCTCCTCTTGCTCCGCTCGCACTGCTGCCTCTGCTGCTGCTTGCTTCCTCAGCTGCTCCACCTGTTGGGGTGGAGAGAGGAGTAAAAAGTACATTCGCCTGTAAGGACAGGGGCTTTTGGCCTGGGCTTTAATTACAGGTAATAACCGAGCAGGGGAAGGCTCTGCCTCTGCCTAAAAGACTGATAATACATGCACTGATGGGCTTTACTACAAGACAAAATGATACCTGCACGGGCGGCCGCAGCTCAAAGGAGTGGGCGGCGCCGCGGACTCTCTTGAAGAAGATGCGGTCGGCAGTCAGCATTCGATGGGCGGCAAAGTGCGGCACTAGCGGGTCCTCAGCCTCTCCGAAGGCAATCTGGCACATGCAGACAGAAAGAGAGGCAGGGAGTGAGGGCCATATGTGAGCTCTCCAGCATGCGGTGGGCGGCAAAGTGCGGCACTAGCGGGTCCTCAGCCTCTCCAAAGGCGATCTGGCAGGTAGAGGTGAGCGTAGGGTGAGGGTGAGGGTGAGGGTGAGGAGGAGGATAAGGGTGACTGTGGGCTGCTTGAAGAGATGTGCTTATAGCGAGTACAAGGTCATAACAAGGTTAATACATGCTGGTTATTTCTGCAAACTCCTGCGTGGTAACTGTGGGCTGCTCTGAAAGAAACATCTCCCACACCTATGCTGTTGTGACAGTGGTGGTGGTGGTGGTGGTGGTGGTTACCAGGTATGATCATAGCGAGTATAAATTTAAAACAAGACGAGTGTGGGTTTACCTCTGCAAACTCCTGTGTGGTGACTGTGGGCTGCTCTGAAAGGAACATCTCCCACACCATCTCGAGGAGAGAGCCATCAGCCTGGTATTTTAAGGGACAAGCAGGGTTTAAGATCAGGGGTTTTGGGTTAAGGGTTATGAATTGAAACTTGTCAGTGGGCAGCAAAGTGGCACAGACAGCTACAAGGGAGAGAGAAAGAGAGACAGCAGAAACACGGTGTAAGACTGAAAACTGGAAACCGAAAAGCAACGCAAGAAGAGTTCGGAGACTTCTCTTAGCATTCTTGCTAAGATGGTGCAAAAAGGGAGTTTAGACATATAGAAACTTGGAAATTTTGCACAATAGCAGAATGTTGGGTCTCTGACCGTTAGTGAGTCTACAGATGAGAGGAAGGAGGAGAGATCAGCAGCTTTAAAAACCCCAAGGGAGACGACGGACTAACCGATAGTGAGTCAACAGATGAGAGGAAGGAGGAGAGATCGGCAGCGTTAAAGTCCTCCTCCCGTACTTCCACGAATGTCAGCTGCTGCGGCCTCACAGAGAAGGTGTTGCCGTTCTGTCATCGCTCAATGCAATGAAGTGGAAGGGGAGAATGGAAGGGGGAAGTGAGGGAGAGACGGGAGAATGAAATCCTCCTCCCCCACTTCCACGAATGTCAGCTGCTGTGGCCTCACAGAAAAGGTGTTGCCGTTCTGTTGTGGTGCAATGTGGTGGAAAAAGGGAATGAAGTGGGGGCGGAAGTGAGGGAAAGAAGGGAGAAATTATCCTTCATCCACTTCCACAAATGTCAGTTGCTGCGGCTTCATAGAGAAAGTGTTGCAATTCTCCAGTTGAGCGGCAGAGAGGAAAGGAGGAGGAAGCAGGGGAGGAGAATGTTAAAATCTGAGACGCCTCCAAAAGTCTCTCAAGCATGGTGGAAAGGAAGGGTTGGGCGGGGGGCGGAGAAGGGGAGAAGACTGGAAGTGAAGGAAAGTGAGGAGAGGGGAAGAGAGGGGACGGAAGGCAATGCCCATTCCCATTCCTCATCTCATCAGTGTGACTCATCAGTGTGTCTCGTCAGTGTGACTATGTGACTTAGGAATTTCGGAGTTACGGATTTTGGGCTCGAGTTCTCTTAGGTAAACGACACAAGCATTCTAGTAACCCAATCCGCATCAATTTTCTCGATTTTCGGTTCTTGATTGTCCTTTTTCGATGCCTATAACGCGTACGTACCTGATCCATAACGATCCAGTTCTTCTTCCCTTCCGGTCGCATCACCACCCCCACCACGTGCCTCTGCTGCTCCTTCTCGAATTCCACCAGAGCGCCTTTCTTCACCCTCTCACCCAAAGAGCCTCCTCCGCTCTTGCCCGCTCCGCTTTTAGCCGCTGCGTTACCAGCTGCGGCCTGTACAAGCCTATTGATTTGTCTACCACCGTTACTGCTTGCTGTTCTGCTGCTACTCCCACTGAAGGCACTGCTGCTGCCACAGCCACCACCAACACCACTACCACCACCGCCGCCGCCGCCGCCGCCGCTACCGCCGCCAACACCTTTCCTGCAGGGAGGGCTGCTGCTCGTGAATCCAGCCGCAAAGCACCCGCTGCTGCTGTTGATGCGACCGCTGCTACTGCCGTTAAGCAACGTGGACGAATAAGTAGCACCCGGTGACGTGGCACCCGCTACAGGCGTAATCCTTCGACCTACATTTGGTTGAGCTGCAGCCGGGTGGGGAGCAGCTGAACGAGCTACAGCCGGCTGGGAAACTAGGAATACCGTCGCGCTACAGCTCACATCACGTTGCGCTACAGCCGGTCTGTTCCAGGCTATTCGACTAGCCTGGTCCGTGCCGGCTGTAGCCGTTCCAGCCGCTGTAGCTGTGTTAATGCCTGTAGCCGCTGTAGCGGCTGTAGCATTTCTAGTGGCTGTAGCAGCTGTAGCTGCTCTAGCATATGACGCTGCTCTCGCGGCTGAATCCGTACCAGCCGCTGTAGCTGCTCTAACGGCTGTCGCGGAATGTCTACGCGCTGAGGTTGCTGTAGCTGCCACTGCTGCGGCAGCGAGACGATACATCGGCCCGCCGCAATCAGCGCCGGGAACCACGGCAGATCTGCCGGCTCGGACAGCCCTCGTGGGAGATCGGACGGCTCTGGCGTACGATCCGCTCCTCCTGCGGGGAGAAACGCCGCCTGCGGAGACGGAGGCGGAAGCCGCGCTGGCGCAGGCGGAGGCGCAAGCGGAAGTGGTTGCGGAAGCGGCTGCGAGGTTGGTCCTGCTGCCGGCGAGTAGCGCTTGATGCGGCGCGACAACCGGCCTCATATCGCCGTCACTCCCGGAGTAAATTCAGAAGTTGGATCGCGCCTTTTGGCCTAAATAAATTCTGTTTTGAGCACAACAATGGCAATTCCTACGCGATGAATGTTTGAGTCAAACGCCGACTGAACTGCGGAAGGGATATTAGTCAACTAAGCAGCTAGGCCCTCAGACTCGTTAAGGCGTAGGTAATAAGGTCCTTAAACTCTTACGCATGGCCGCACGTTCAAAAAGAAGAGATAGCGAGAAAACGAAGAGCAGCTCATATTCCTGAAAACATATGAGTGTGATACCACAAACGCATTCCTGAGAAAATAGAGTGAGCAAGCTAATAAACAGCTAACGAGACTAGTCCTGAACTTGTACGTTTCGTTACGGTTGATAACACAAGCTGAGAGATTGAATATGGTGGAAATAAATTCCCACTTTCCAAAGGGGAGCCCACTAGCCCATCGTAATTCGGGGCTTGGGATTAGCCAGGCGTTGGGATTGCTTTGCTCCACGCGGCGCTCTCTGAACAGTCGGTTCGCCGCTGATGTGGAAGGCGCTGGTTTGCTTCAGCTCGTGCCATTCAGCGACGACATCAAGGGCGTGTAGGCAGCTGATAGTAGAATATCGGTCTACCTACACCGAGTGCGAAATTGCTGCGTGTAGCTGTAACACCACAAATTTTAAGCATTCCCATTGCGAGTTCGCGAATAGTCCAGAACCAATCCCAGCTCGTGTAACGAATGCGTGTCAGGGTTTTCAGAAACCCAGATTCCTCCACCAAATTCTGCTCGTCCGCGCGACCTCAAGGTTTCCACCCCGCGCCTGCTTCGTGCACACGCAACACCTACACCGCACAACCACCCGAAACCCCACCCCACCATCCTGGCACGCGCGGTTCTTCCTTTCCCCCGGTTGAGTGCGTGCCAGCGCAACGAGTTCGCGTGGTGCTTCTTGTTTCCTCTCGGTTCTACTCGGCTCTACTCGGGTCTGCTCTTCTGTCAATGATGACAAACATACCTCACCAGCACGATTCACGGCAAGGATTCAAATCATACATCCCTGTTTTGAGGACGGCTTTGCGTAGTTCTGAAGTAAGTAGCAGCTTTGCCTGAAGGTCATTGTAGGTAGTAGGTAGTCTTGAGCAGGTATCGTCTGGTTCTTGCGACAAAAGCAGACAGCAAGAAAGATATTCAGTACCCCCGCATTCTATTCAGGCTCTCGCCATACCTTCGTTTTCGTTTTCTTTATTTTTTTTCGAGCTCACGCGTCAACGAATCTTCAGAGGCCGCTCGTCGATCGTCTTCCCGACGTAAGCATGTCGGATAATAACGCCCAGGCAGATTCTCCCAGTAACCGCAACTCTCAGCCTCCAGAATCTTTGTCCGCAAGTACTGATCGGCAAAGCGGAAGAGGCGGCCGCCGCAGGGGCGGAGGCAGAGGGCGGGATCGATATTTTCAAGACCGAAATTTCCAAGACAGTATTTCACAAGCTAATGGCCGGTTTCCGGAGGATATTAACGGCCGCGGAGGCTATGGTGGCCGGGGCAGAGGGAGAGGTCGCGGCCGAGGCTCAGACGATAATTTTGCTCGTGGCGGATATGACGGAAATCGCGGCGGCGGACGCGGCGATGGCCGCGGCGGTGGTCGCGGCGGAGGTGGAGGCGGTGTCGACGGATCTGCCAACACACTTCTAGAGTTGTACGGCGTGTCTGCAGATCGTCAGACGCAGGACTTCGCTCAGCCTCGCCGCGGTTATTCCCAGCCTTACCGGCCGTTTCTGGTGCCTGCCGGGCAGTCTAATCAGCCGGCAGATCTGACCGGCAAGTCAGCCGGTGTTAGTTAATGCTGACGGAAGCATGCGTGGGAGCGGGAATAGCGCGGGGAATATGCCGTTGGAGAATCAGTCCAGGGGGACAGCTGCGCATCCTATTAACATTAATGATTTTCTGCAGCCACTTCAACCGCGGGCAGGTCCTGGAATATTGGACCTGCCCGCGCTTCTTGCCCCGCCAGATGCTCGAGCACAGCAGGGAGGCGCGCGGGGAAGGGGAAGGGGGGGAGGGGGCGGCAGGAGAGGAGGCAGGGAAGGGGGAAGGGGGGGAGGAGGGCGTGGAGACAGAGGGGAGGTAGAGCTGCCCTTGCAGTCACAGCAGCAGGTAACAGGGTTACCAGCATCAGCCCCAGTTTCGGGTTCACACCAGCCGTTTCGCCATCAGCAGCAGCAGCAGCAGCAGCATTTCAACCAACCGCCACAGTGGACACAGCAGCAGCCTTACCAACACCAGCCACGTCAGCAGCAGCGAAGACCAATTCCAGGTTCTAGCGGCTCCAATTCCGACCAACGAAGTGCGAGAGGCACCAAGACGGACGCCGTGATAGGCGCCGCGGTCGGCGCCGCGAGTGGCGCCAGAAGAGACGGAGTGGAAGTTCCGCAGCTGCTACAGGAGATAGAGAACCGGCTGCGGAGCGGGCAGGTGGAGTGCATGATCTGCTACGACCCCGTGGGGCGATCCGCTGCCGTCTGGACGTGCCACAGCTGCTACAGCCTATTCCACCTCCACTGCACGCGCAAGTGGGCCAAGGCGCCGTCCTCCGGCGCCGCGCCGGACCTCGCCGCGGCGAATGCGACCGGAAGCGCGGGCGGGAACGCGAGCGCGAGTCAAAACACAGCAGGAGCAGCAGGAGGAGCGGGAGGAGCGGCAGGAGGAGCAGCAGGATCAGGGGGGGCAGGAGGGGCTGGGGGCGAAGGCTGGAGGTGTCCGGGTTGCCAGGCTGTTCAGCTAACCCCTCCCTCTCAACTCCGCTACTTCTGCTTCTGTGGGCAGCGGGAAGATCCCCAGTTCGATCCCTACCTGGTCCCCCATTCCTGTGGCGAAACCTGCCATAAGCCTCTAGGGTTACCCGGTTCGTCCTGCCCCCATTCGTGCACGCTGATTTGTCACCCGGGGCCCTGTCCGCCTTGCAGCGCTATGGCTAATACTGAGTCGTGCTTTTGTGGGGGACGGCGGTTCCAGAGGCGGCGCAGCGAGGCTGCTGCGAAGCCCGGGGGCGTGTCGTGTGGAGAGCGGTGTAATGCGGTGCTGAGGTGTGGTAGGCATGTGTGTGGGAGGGTGTGTCATGAGGGGGAGTGTGAGGAGGTGGTGGTGGCACAGTGTGTGTGTGGGAAGGAGGAGCAGCAGAGGCGGTGTTCTAGTCTGTTACCAAGTAACCCTCCTCTTGTCTCCGCTCCTACTCCTGCTGACACTCCTCCCCTTTCCACTCCTCTTGTTTCCTCCTCTGAAGAGAGCAACACCACAACCAGCAGCGGCAGCACAATCACCAGCAACACCACAACCAGCAGCGACAGCACAACAGGCAGCAGCAGCGGCAGCAGCGGGGTTTACCTCGTCAAAGATGCATTCTCCTGCGAATCTGTGTGTAACAAGCTGCTTCCGTGTGGTAACCACCGCTGCCAAAAACGCTGCCACAGCAGCAGCAGCAACGCCAGCAGCACCAATGCCGATTCCTCATGTGGTGACTGTCAATTTTCGCCCTCCGCCGTGCACACCTGCCCGTGCGGCAAGCAGCCAATCACCGCCCTTCTCCAGAAACCCGGGCAGGCGAAAAAACAGCGCACCTCGTGTCTAGACCCCATACCCACGTGTGGTGGCGGGTGTGGCAAGCTACTGGCGTGTGGCCAGCACATGTGTGGCAGTCTGTGCCACGTGGGCGAGTGCCCCCCCTGTGAGAAGCCAGTGGAGCAGCGGTGTGCGTGTGGGGAGTCTGTCAGAACGGTGCCGTGCTATAAAACGTTGATTACTCATGCCAGCAGCAACGCTGCTGGTAGTGCTGGTGGTGGCGTTAATGAGGGTGTTACAGGAGCGGAATTTGCTGCAGCTGTGACAGGAGGAGCCGAAGGAGCAGCAGTTGTAGGAGGAGCAGGAGGAGCAGGAGGAGGAGCAGCAGGAGGTGTTGACTCGGAGCCCTTCCGTTGTAACCGCAAGTGTAACGCCAAGAAGAACTGCGGGCGGCACCGCTGCAACACCAGCTGCTGCCCGAAAAACCCTAAAAACAAAGCACCACCCGCCGCATCCGACACAGACCCCCATCTCTGCATGCTCGTCTGTGGGAAGAAGCTTCGATGCGGGAAGCACTCCTGCATGGAGCTTTGTCATTCCGGCCACTGTCCGCCTTGTCTAGAAGCTTCTTTTACAGAAGTTTCCTGCTCCTGCGGCTCTTCCTTTATTCCTCCGCCAGTCCCCTGCGGCACCTCCCCTCCTCCTGCTCCCAGCCCTGCTCTAAAGCGAGAGATTGCGGGCACGATCCGGATCACCCCTGCCATTTCGGGGATTGTCCGCCGTGTTCCTCTGCAGTGGCCAAGGAGTGTGTGGGCGGTCATGTGGTGTTGAGAGGGGTGCCGTGCGGTAGTAAGGATATCCGGTGCAGTAATGTGTGTGGGAAGAGGCGGCAGTGTGGGGTGCATGCTTGCTTGAAGCTGTGTCATGTGGGGCCTTGTGATGAGCCGGGACCCACTCTTCCTGCTGCGGCTGAAACTGCTGCTGCTGGTGCTGCCTCTGTAACTGCTGGTGAGGATTCTTCAGAAGGTTCTGCGAGCAAAGTGGAGCAGGAACAGGAGCAGCAGCAGCAGCAGCAGCAGCAGCAGAAGCAGAAGCAGCGATTCACCGGCCCTCTCTCCTGTGGTCAGCCCTGCGGTGCTCCTAGAAGGGAGTGCCAGCACACCTGCACATCCACCTGTCACATAGGCTCCCCCTGTCCCGAAACCCGCTGCA